TCAAATTATACTTCCACCTGTGTATCATAGAGTTCACTGCTTGCGCATAAAGTGATTACTTTCATGGGCAGGTATCCACTATTTTGTCTCTGTGTATTTCACAATTTAGTCGGCAATGACCTTTATCTGCTCAAAGACATGCTCAAACTGCAACTATGAACTTACTCTCTTTAAAAAAAAGAGTGAATTTCACTCTATTTTTCTTTCTTGGGAGTGACGTCCGTGATCACTTGTTTAGGAGTGAAAATCGATTGATTTTAGAGTGCTCTCTAAGAAGAAAAGAGTGAATGTTCACTCTATTTTCACTACATTTTCACCCTCCAGAGGAGTAACGTCGGTGATCACTCGATTTTTTTAGAGAGTATTGTCAAAATCTGACCCCCAAAAATGAAGGTCTCCCGTGCCGGGAATCGAACCCGGGCCGCGTGGGTGAAAACCACGAATCCTAACCACTAGACCACACGGGATTGCCATGTCGTGGATGGTTCAACATGTAACTTTATTGAATAAAAAAGTGTGTTGATTATAATCCTACTGATCATGATCGAGCTATGACGTGGGATCCTATTATATAAAGCAACCGTTGTTAAGGAATTATCTCCATGTATTTTTTTTTTCTTAATGCAGCCCCTGGCAAGTTCAGTAGTGGATGATTGTGTGTTCAATTATGGAGACTAATTAAAAAGCTTATTCCAGACGTATCCATAAATATATTCACCAAAAGTATCTACTAGTATTTGATTTAATTCAGGGTGTGGTTATTCGATCACAGAGTAAGCATAATAGCGGGGTCGCATAAGCAGGTTCGATGCGCTATTATATCCTTTATACCAGCGTTCCTCAGATATGATAACAGTTAGCGCACTGTTTGCTTGCGTGCAACCATACTTTCTTTGCAGACGGGTCCAATAAAATCTTTTATATAAATAAAATAAATAAAATAAAAGCTTTATATGGGTATATTTTCGGGCATATTTTCGCAGCGGGGTAGGGCAGAGACTGACGCCTTATTATCCTGAATCTAAATTGTCTAGTTTCTAATAAAAATGTTATTTCGCATCGAAATATACGCACACGAAATATACAGGAGATAACAGATGTATTATGTACACTAAATAAGATTAAATGAGGCATTTGGGCACATCGCTGTCCCAAAATTAGAAGACGGTTGTTTGAATATTTAGTTTCTTCAAATTCTCGGAGGACTGCAGCCCCTATAGCACCACAACTCGTAAACACGTATGCAAGTTTAATGATGCCTATTCTAAATACAAAATAATAAAAAGTTTGGGTTTTGTTCATGATCAAGAGAAAATATTTTAAAAGATAATAAAGAAAAACAGGCATGCTCATTTTATACACAGATGCAAGAGTGGGCGAGAAGATATAATCTTGCCTAGAAGGAGATTTCATATGAACCTTTAATGCTGTTGGTGAATTATTCAATGAATTTATACACTGATCTTTTAAAAATTCAACATAAGACCTTATATCCAACCTTAAGCCTCCCTGCCCGCGTTTTTCATGCTTTGGCTAGCTATATTTGCTTGAGGACGAAGGATATCCTTCGTCCTCAAGCAAATAGCTAGCCAAAGCATGATGTCACAGTTGCATACATAAACAACAGCAAAAATCCTGACAATGGCATTCACATAGTGATTTTTTTTTAATGCATAAAATATAGAAGATTATGGGGACCTGAATCTATATATCGCTCACTCGCCCTATATAACCGAAACCAGGAAAGACAGATATACGGCACTGCTCAGGACAGAATCGTGAGTACGCCCTCACTGTTTCATGTCTATACATTAAAACTTGCATGAAGGTTGTAAATAAGACCACACTTTTCGTTTTCTTGGAACAATGCTTCTCATTGATGTACTTAAGATTGCAAGCGATGTGAGGTAGATTAATGTATTCTTCTTTTATGTTATTTCTTCTTCTACTTCTACTTCTTCTCCTTCTGCTTCTTCATCTTCTTCTCCTCTTTCTTGGCTTCATTTTCATCATCTTCTTCTTCTTCTTCTTCTTTTTCTTCTTCTTCTTCTTCTTCTTCTTCTCTTTCTTCTTCTTCTTCTTCTTCTTCTTCTTCTTCTTCTTCTTCTTCTTCTTCTTCTTCTTCTTCTTCTTCTTCTTCTTCTTCTTCTACTTCTTCTTCTTCATCTTCTTCTCCATCTTTTTCTTCTACATCTTCTCTTTCTTCTTCTTCCTCTTCTTCTCCTTCTTCTTCTTCTTCTTCTCCTCCTCTACTTCTTCTTCTTCCTCTACTTCTTCTTCTTCTTCTTCATCTTATTCTTCATCTTCTTCTACTTCTTCTTCTTCTTCTTCTTCTTCTTCTTCTTCTTCTTCTTCTTCTTTTCTTCTACTCTACTTCTTCTTCTTCTTCATCTTCTTCTTCTACATCATCATAATCTTCTTCTTCTTCTCCTTCTCCTTCTAAGTTCTTCTGCATCTTCTTCTCCTTTTTCTTCATCTTCTCCTTCTCCTTCATCATCATCATCTTCTTGCCCCTTCTTCTTTATCTTCTTCTCCTTCTCTAGCTTCTTCTTCTTCTTCTTCTTCTTCTAAATAAGAGGGAGCTAATTCATAAAAAACATTCATAAGCTAATAATAATATTTCTAATTGGATGCGAGACTGGACTGGTAACCAAAATAAATTTTGTAAGACAGGGGATATTGAATTATGTTTCTTAGTATACTTGTAACTAGCCGTGCTGCTGAATTTTGGATGGTTTGTAATCTTTAAATTTGGCGAAGTGCCGAAAAAGGTGACTATTACAAAAATCAAAATGGCACATAGCAAAAGCTTGAACAAGACGTTCGACTATACATCTATCAATAAAATTACGAATGTTTCCTATTGTGTGTAGTGCAAATGAAGCTGAGCGACACTTTTGTGTAACAACATTTTCAAAAGTAAGCTGGGGGGGGGGGGGAGTCAGTTATACCAGTGGCGGATTCAGTGGGCACGTGCCCCCCCCCCCCGGTAAAAAAGGGGGAAGGGGGAAGGGGGAAGATAAAGGGAGAAAAGAAGAAAAAGGAGGGCGAAAGGAAAAAAGGGAAAGAATAGAGAGAGGAGAGAAAAGGGGGAAAAGGAGAATAATGAGAAGGGAAAAGAAAGAAAGAAAGGGGGATAATATTATACGAAGGTGTTTTTTTACCAGGAAAGGGGCGGGGGTGGGACACGCAATTTTCCAGTATACATAATATGGGGTCCCTCTTGCCAGGCGTGTAGCCCCTCCCCCCCCCCCCCCCCCCTAAAAAAGGGGGGCAAGAAGAATAAACAAAAAAGAGATGGAAAAAAGGGGAAAAAGAGATTTAAGTTAAGAGAGTTAAAGGAGAAAGGAAAAAATGAAAGAGATTAAACAACGATAGAATTTTTGCAAGTACAACTGGGAAAGTACCAGACCACCGTTTTAGTGCATTGTGCAGCAACGAAGCATACAACGTCTCGCGACGTGAAAGATCACTTTTCTCTAACTTCTGACCAATCAGAAGGCCTCGTTTGTTTTCCAGGAAGTGCCGGTGGACGTTAATGCGCCAAATGTCGTTCTCAAATTGGAAAAGATCCCTACTCTTGGAAAGGGTAGGAGAAAGCAATTTTAAGTCATTTTTAGATTTTGATGTATAAACTTTTGGTGTGAACGGGGAGGGGGTGGGATGGTACGAGTCGTATTCATAATGTGATATAGAGGGTTTGGGAGGGGGTTTGGATAGTGCGTTGGTAATGTAAAATATTTTCGTAGTTTGTTGTGTTTTATATCTATGTTTGATTATCTTTTTCTGGATTTGTACTATATTTGTAAATTGTATTCTTGTATGTATTTGATGTTATATACGGAAAATGTGCCTACTGTGGTTTTAAAATTGCAAATGCTTCCTACTCAAAAAGGGGGTTCTGACCCCCACCCAGACCCAGCCCCCGCTCTCTCGCCGCTGACGCCTCGCTCCATCGTTTTTCATATATTTCACCCCATGCAATTTTGTGCCTCCCGGTAAGAAATGCCTGGATTCGCCACTGTATACCTTTCGTATATTTCTTTTAAATTTCTTTCTTCAAATGTGTTTTCCCCCTCCCTTTATTCACATACCTTTCTTCTTTTTTTAAAATAATTTTTAATATTTTTTAATTTTTTTTTTTTAAATATAATTATTTTTCAAATTTCTCACATATGTCAAAAGTCTTTCCACATACCTCTACTTTTTATGTATTTCATATTGCCATTTTTCATCTTCGATATCGCGGTTTTCCTGTACGTATACATTTTGAAATAATAATAATTACATTATTTTATAGGGCGGTCAATATGGGCGTTTCGAGGCGCACAAAGCCTAGTACCCACGTGTCATTATTTGTTATTCATTTAATATACATGGTGTTCTTTTCAATTAATTAATATTATATCATACAGCCCTATATACCAGTCATCGAATCTGTACTTTCCATTTTCTCCTAGTACTTAAAACATATTTTGAAAAGAGTCCTTTTTCACAGAATTGTGCATGTCCTTCGTTGTTCATGTTTTTTTGTAACTTTTGTGATTTTGTTTGAAGGATAGTCTGTAATTCAGATCAAACTACAAGCACTGCTTTTTACTGGATCCCCCATTATGTCTGGTGTTTTTTAATAAACTGAACTGAACTGAACTGATTTAGTGTATTTGTATAAAAATGAATACGTAGGCCTACATCCATTTTTTCATATTTTCTGTATATGTAATACCAATACCTTTGTTTATATTTCTGTTGGAAATAAAATAAATATGAATTGAATTGAACATGGGCGGTCATCGGCCGCAGCCCCTCCCACCCCTCCCCATCCCCCTCTCTTATCATTTTTCTTCCTTGGGGGGAGGGGGGGGGGGGGGGGGGGGGGAGAGCACGCTCCCATGTGTGTTGCATTTTCACAGGCGCACGCCTATGCTATTTCACGTGTATGGTCTTTTATGCACGCCGCGCACATGTGAACAGCTGATTTTGTTTACCGGCGACTAAAGATTGTCATCAAAATGGGAACTGCAGAGGGAGATAACCTCTCACCATTGATACCGATACCTACCAAGAATGTAGATAAGTATGTAGCACATTTAAGACGAATATTTCACTCTTAATTGTCGTTTTATAATGAGATATCGGCATATAGTTTTTTGATTGACTTGTAAGCATAGCCCCACACATAGCAAAAGATGTTAGGAAAAGTACAGTCTGTTTGGCCTTTGGCGATTGTTTCCTTATTTATGACCATGTTAGTTAGGTAATCATGCGACCTGTATTGCTTGCCATAGTTTTTGACTCGTACATTCACAAGCAGACGACCTGGGTCATCATGGTGGCCGCTAAAAGCAACAATATTGTGCTGTTCAACGAGGATGTTATATAAAACAAATAATGAATGTTTTTCGTTCGTTCAATAGTGCAAATATTTTCATGAGTTGAAAGATTAACATTCTATTGTATTGAAGTTGAACTCATACACATTCAATATTTGTAATTATACAACTCACTCCAAGATCCTTATCAAATGATTCGTCATGCGAGGCACGTGTGATTCATTTACTGAGCCTATTGCACTCGTTTTCATGAAAAGGAGTTCAATATTTTCCAGTACTATTGAACTCGTTTTCAGAGCGCGCTTAATACTGCGTGTGCCTCTTCCTATTCTTGCGCAGCACTCAGCGTAAATGGGTGTAGAGGTAAGTGCGCTTGCTATATCTATACTTATGTGTGCGCACTAAAATGAAACTTATTAAAACTTGAGATTTATTCGTCAGCCATACACTGTCACGAAACAATCTTGAATTAATTATTTTTACATCAAATTACAAGGATCTATCCGCCCTCGTTGATGCTGTGTGTATCAGCCTCAACTCAAGTGCGGATAGATCGTATAATGAACTCATGCGCATGCATCATTTGTATACTATTGCATATGTGACTACAATTAAATGCATCAAACCAAAATGCCTGAGCAAACTTTTCCTCTAACCTTACATTTATTGTCTAATGTATTTTTACAGGAAATGTGAGATGTGTGAGCAGGATTCATCCAAGTACACTTGTCCAAGATGCCAGATGAAGACGTGCTGGTAAGATCACTTTTTTTGTACTCAACTGGGCATTATTATCTAATTTAGCTTTTATAACCAAATTTCTTATTGATAATGATGCTAATACAAACAACTTGATTGGTTAATTTGTAAAATGCCATTGCATGAAAAGATGCCTTTGGAACACAAAAAGGTAGTAGACGACTGACAATAGTGAAGTAAAAATTGTAATCTGGCTTTTTTTAATAACATTTTTGGGGTGATATTAAGTTTGATGATATGATTCTTCCTCAATGGCATAAATATACAATTTGTTTCCTTCTCAACAATTAGGCATTTTAGGTTCTAGACGCTGGTTTTCGTTCCACTTCATTTTCGCTAAGCTACACTATCATTATACCATTCTCTTCTGTAAAACATTCAAACTGTTATTCTCCAAACCAATATGACTTTTGTCTGACTAATATACAGATGGTTAATAACTGTCCACATGTTGTCTGTGCCCTCTAAATATGCTTCCATTCCCAAGTTAACTTTGCAGCTGTTGGGAAATGAAAATGCATGTTTCCTTTCATTCTGTGTTTCAGCCTCTCCTGCGTAAAGAACCACAAGTCACAGAGAGGATGCTCAGGGGTGAGGGATAAGACGCCTTACGTTCCCATCAAGGAGTTCACAGAGAATCATCTTCTGAACGGTAAGATGAGCAGTTTTTTTGCCCATTGTCTTAAAGGCTGGCTATACCAGTGTGGACAGGAGGGATTAGACCACCCAGCAAGGTCACTGACAGGTGGCTATCTCATCAACTCAGCTCTCAATTAACATAAGAAAAAGAGGATGATGGGGGACCAAGAGGCACTGATTAGGCATTGTTTTCTATATAGAGGGAGCAAGTAGTATAGTGTGGCCTTAAAGCCCCTTTAAAGCGCTCGGAGCCCCAAAAATTTGATGGCAAAATGTCACGTGAATTTTATCATAATGTGAAAGAGAATGTCATTTAAGATACATTTCTGCAAGGATTACCAAAACAAATATTGATGAAAGAATACAAAACTTAGGTTTTCTGCGTACAACAGAAACCCCAGTTATATATTCTTTTATCAAAATTTGTCTTCAAACACATTTTTTGGGGGAAAATCTTTGCAGGAGTGTCTCTTAAATGACATCCTCTTTCACATGATCATACAATTTAAGTGAAATTATGCCATCAAATTTGTGGCTCCCAACACTTTAGAGGGGCTTTAAGGCAAGTGAGTCTGCTGGGTGGGTGTGGAAAATGCATGTTGATAATTTCTACTAGTCAATTATTCTTTTATTGGGCTTGCAGGACAGTGGCCATGAAATTAAGGATCGTTGGAATTGCCTGAGTTTAATACTTGTCTAATTTACAAGAGTATTTATGTTTGTGTATGGCTGTTTCATGAAATATTGATTACAATTATATATGAGGGGAAGGAGATTGGAGGACTCGTATCACTGCAGATCAATCACAACTCTTTATAACATAAGATGAGGCTTACATATTTTAAGGGATTATTTGGACAATATCTAAGGTCGGTTGCTCTGGCATACTGACCAACCCCTGTGAAATGTTCACTTCTTATTAGTTGAGGATGTTAGTATGAGAACTATTTATTTATAAACAATTGACAATTCTTTTCAGTTTTCTTACAGTTATTTTCATTTATCTATTTCATACTCAAATTGATTCTTCCTTGCCCCCCCCCCCCACCCCTCTCTGTTTTTCATTCATATCCGATCTTCATCTTAACTTCTCATTGGCAGATTACCGATTGTTAGAAGACATGGACAGAAAGCGTTATGCTGCTAATGGAGATGTAAAGAACAAGCCAGGCTACCTCAACTTCAGAGTGAGTTTCAAAACAGTATTTGAAATGGAGAAATGCATAATTTGATATTGTTCCCAATGAAGACTTGTAGAATGCTAATAATTTACAACTAAATTATTCATACCCTACCAAGTTCCGAATTTTAAGTATGTGAGAAAAAAAAGAAGATTTTTCTCAATTTATGTTTCTTGAGAATGTGGCATATTAAAGCATACATCTTAAAGTAATTAACAAAGATCATAATTTAACTTAAATTTAATTTAACCTTTCCTTAGTCCTTCTAGGACTTTACACATGGTGTACCGTAAACCTCTACCGCGATTAACTGTATATTATATGAGTACAGACAGTCCAGTACTTATGTAGATAAGAATAACAGTGATTTAGTGGGGCCCGTCTCAGTGTAAGAGATTTTTGTAATGTCTTTGTCTTGGATTTGACCATGAGTCCTAATGCTAAGTGGATGTAACTAGAATGTTTTTGACAGCTCTTGTTTTTAAAGACGGCAAGCCACATCATGAGAAGTAGCATTATGATTGAAATTTTCATATTTTAAGAGTTGAGGAAGAAAATAAGAGTTTATTAATTATTTAAAGAATTGAGGGAGAAATTTCCAATGATGTTTACAAAATGTAATAATTATATTTCAGTGGAAGCTGGTTAGTAAGAAGGCAGCTGATAGAGGTGTGAGGCTCAGACTGTTACCACATTTCTTCTCTAAGCACAAAGAAAACTCCACCACATTTATCAAGAAGTAAGTTGCTACCACTCTCTTTCTCACTGTTCCTTGCTAATGGCTCTATCTCAAATCAAAAGATATTTCATAAAAAGTCATGAATGTATTTAAATACAATTAAAGCCCCATTGCACTTCTTATAGTTACTTGTGCCCTCTATACAGCCAACAATGCCTAAGCGGTACCTGTTGGTCCCCCCATGTTTCCCTTTTTCTTATGTTAATTGAGAGCTGATTTGATGAGATAACCACCTGTCAGTGACCACGTAGGGAGGTTTAATCCATCCAGGCTAAAGTAGTACAGATAGGCTTTAAATACAATAAAACAAGGTTCTTGTGTATTATATTTTATTTTGTATAATGTTGCTCTGCATACTAACCCATTGACTTCTGCTGATTTCTATCATTCCTGTAGGTTTGATACAGGAAACGGGTGATTCCCGCAGGCAATGTGTTAATTGAAAAGTGAGAGTATTCTAAAATCTCATTGAAAGAGTGATGTTTCACATCTTTATTATATTTTTGTTTTCCCCCAGAACCAAGTTGATAGCATGGCATGTGAAGTGGATCTTTCCTAAATCCAGTGCTGAATTCACAGATACAAGGTAAGAATCTACCTCTTCTGGGACCTGTTTCCCAAAGCCTTTTTTCAATGACAAACTATAAAAATCAGTGACAAATCTGTTGATAACCAATCAGAAGCAAGGATTTCAGTGGCTTATAACAAAAACTGTCATTTGTCATTGATGACAAGTTTTTTCCCCCCTGGTCTTGGGAACCTTCTCCATGGCACAGACACACAGCAAAACCCTTTCCACATTTACTTATGGGGAGAGGGATTAATTGATTAATCATCTAAGAAATAAGAATCTTCATATACCATAAGATGGGCTAGACAGGAAAACTGAAACACAATTATGTATCTTAATTAATGAAATTGTGTATTTATGATTAACACAACTGTAAATATGTGGGAGATTGTTTTATTGAAACTAACAGCCATTCATTGATAGTTTCAAGATTCAAAACTCTATTTGATTGTATTAAATAGTTTCCAGAGTTAATGTTATTGCATCTTGTAACATTTGTACAGGGAAAAGTAACTCTTCCATTTACAAGTTGCCAATTTGAAGATTTAAGGACTTGTTTCTAATATTTAAAAAAAAATGTTTTTCAACTTCATAATAATAAAATAATAATAAAAGGCATTAATATAGCGCTGTCTATCAAGACAATTCTATTCCATATTGCAAAAGAAACAGATTCATTTTCTGTTGTAAGCTTTTGCTTATCTTACTTATACAGATGTGCAATTAGCACCAAAAAATGTTATTAATAATATCTAGTATATTTTTCATGTTTATCATCCTTTTCAAGGCTGAGTGAGGAAGTCATTCTGAGAGAAGCATTAGATAAGTACCTTCATCCTGACAGAGCCGATCCAGTCATACGTCAAAGGTAGGTCTACACCACATATAAATACACAAGTGGGACTATACCACACATTTTACGCAACCTTATTCTTACGAAGCACCCACTGTGGCAGGAATATCGGTCAATATTGATAGCAGTCTCCTTAAAGAAATCATGTCACCGCACATTCCTAGAGAAGAAAAATCAGATTACTCATGTATTTAGAATCATCTGTAATTTTTCCTTTTTTTTTAAATTACTTTGTATTGATAAGTTTTCATAAAAAGTCTCAGTGATTTTTCTCTTCCATTCTAATCTTTCACAGGAGTTTTCTTTAATACACAATTTAATTTCTTTAACAGCAATGTGAAATGTTAACTACATGTAGTACCTTACAGTTGTCAATCTTTAAGCCAAGTACTGACACAAAATCTTCAGTAATAATTGAACAGAGGCTTGATATCTTCCAAGTGATTGATAATACTGACCCACTCTCAAAGATCAATATTTTCCCTTTCTCCACTCTCTTTTTATCTCCTAGGGTTTTTTTTCTTCTGAAGTCTTAGCATTTTGGGGCTGATCTTATTTCAAAAATACAATATTTCTTCCAAATCTCGGCCCACCTTTTTCAGGCAGCTTAACAATTGACACAGTTATGTTACATTCCACCCCTACAGTTACAATATACCCCCATTTTGGAGGCTGATCATATTTCAAACTACAATATTTCTTCTGAATCTCGGCCCACATTTTTCGAGCAGCTTAACCATTGACAAAGTTATATTACATTTCGCCCCTAGTCCTACAGTTACAATGTCCCCAAAACTATAGGTCAATAAGATCACCTTTCAATAACCCTCAGGTCACGTTTGAAATGGAGACAGTCCTCTACTACTTGACGTTCATTTTCATGTTTGAAAGAGTTTTACCTGAAGGAGGATCTTGTCGTTTGCAGCTTAAACCTGTGTCTACTATATGATCTGACAATGATCTTATTTTAGAAGATACTTGTATTATAATATGAAGCTTTAAACATAATAAATCTTCCTTGTTGTTTATCTTATAGTCATATGAGTATCAAGATCATTTTTGCAGTTTGAAGATTATACTGTGAACTTTGATTTGATTGTTTAGTATAGGAGCTTTGTTACATATTGGTGTGGGAAGTTATCCTGGCCTTGCCCTAGTTTATAACTCATCCTGATGTTTTAGTCACAGGTGAATGTACTTTCAAAATGTACTGCACATCAATGATAGATGTAGTATGTATAAGGGATTGTTTTTTGTTAGTTTTAGTTTAGTTAATTTCATCAACCATGCACGAAAATGAAAGTACAACTGGCATAGATATCATTCCCTGCTATTTCCATACAAATACAAAATGTTAAATAAAATCATGTATGAACATAGAATCACAAATGGGAATAATATTACAATATATGTTTATATAGCAAATGATTCAATTTGGATAATCCTCCATCACCGTAATATATAGCGAAGAAGTGAACTCTCATGGATTTTTATTTCATAATATCATGTTATCATATATATATATATATATATATATATATATATATATATATATAAATGGTACATAAGACATAAATATAAATAATTTAACTCAGCAATTCATGCGTGTAACAAAGTAAGCTGGAAATAGAAAACACACCACAGTTAGAGACAGCAGTGCCCAGTAGAATACATGACATGGATGTAATTTGATTTGTTTTCATATCTATCTCTGACAGACTAAAGAAGTACTGTTCCAAAGGGATTGATGATGTGGAGGTGTACATGAAGGTTGAGGACAAACCTGCTAATACTGTCAGGTATGTTGTAACAGCATAACATTTTCCATCATCTAGTTGATATAAGCATAATGGTTGTAGGGAGATGGAGTTATGGTGATGGAACAGGTGTAATGGTAGTATTTAGGGGCTGGTGGCGATAGTGGTGATGGTGTTGTTGGAGATAGTGAGATTGTTATTGCTGGTGTTGGCGGTGGTGGTAATGATGGTGGTGGTAGGGGTGGTAGCGGTGCTGGTAATGGTAGTGGGGTTGTTATTGTTATTGATGTTGTTAGTGGTGGGTTTGATTTGATAATGGTGATGGTAGTGGTAGTGGTGGTAGCCATTATGATAATAATAATTAATATGCCTTGTTTATCCAGGCTAGCCTCATCAGTATTAATACTGTACTCCCTAAGGCCCTGCAATCATATCATTACCCCGGCTTTATTAAACTGAGCTACCATGAAAAGGTGCTCAAGCATTCAAGAAATTTCTTCCTACCGGGTGCCCATTTACCTCACCTGGGTGGAGAGTGGTGATGATAAAGGTGGTGGTAGGGGGTGGTGGTGGTGGTGATATTAATGGTTATGATGATGGTGGTGTAGTGGTGTTGTGGTGATGCTGGTAATGATGTTGGCAGTATTGCAGTTGTAGTGGAACATGATGTATCATTAGTAGTTTTGGCCCCGTTAGCAAAGTATCCTGCCCTAGTCACTCTGTCAAAGCATCATACACCATATCCCCTGTATCTTGCATTCATTACTGATTTCTCTTCTCAGGTACTACAGCCTGGCTTTAGACAAGACCCTTGGTGCTAACCTGAAAGGGAAGATCATTGTAGAGTACCCTACATTCCACGTCACGCTGCGTGACGACACTGAGCAGTATCAACTGCTTGACCACGGTGAGTAGCAACAATAGATTTTACCTTTGACTAACACTCCATCAAAGATCTAGTTGGACTTATAAAATTAATTGTTGTTCATTAGGCAACAACAGTACCAATAAAATAAACACATATTGATTTTTTTTTAATGAAGTAGAATATTTTGATACTAAAAGTATGTTTCATGCTTCATCTAGACCGTATCTCCCAAGCAGATATACTACAGCAGCTTACAGAAAGAGGTGTAAAAATCCTCATTTTACAAATTTGAATGATAATCATCAATATGCTTGCAACTTTCTGTTTTCGAACAATTTAAGATAGAGCCAAGTAAAAGTCTTCTTCAGGAACAAATGTAAGACGTGAATGACATGGTAACTTTAAAGTCGCCAAAAAGTGTACCATGGATTTGAAGTAAACCTGCAAATCTGTTCCTACTTCTATTACAGAAAAAATGGACCAGTCACGTGTTGCAGTTGAAAACAACTCCCAGTCTGTGAATACGCTGGAGCAAGAGAAGGAAGATGGAGAAGACGAAGGCCCTCCAGAAGAAACAACATCACATCAAATAGATGATGCTAAATCGCAGTCTGTGAATACAGTGGAGAAAGAGATGGAGGACGGTGAAGATGAAACCCCTCCAGAAGAAACAACATCACATCAAATAGATGATGCTAAATTGCAGTCTGTGAGTACAGTAGAGCAAGGGATGGAGGACGAAGAAGATGAAACCCCGCCAGAAGAAACCACATCACGTCAAATAGATGATTTAAAACCTCAGTCTCTGAGTACTATGGAGCAAGAAAGGAAAGACGGTGATGCAGATGAAGGTCTGCCAGAAGAGATATCATCACACAAAATGAACAATACCAGATAAAACTTACCAAATTGAGGCTTGTTTGCACATGTTAACTTGAACTGTGATGGTTTTTTATTCGCACTTAAGCGTACTACACTTACTTTTCTTTATAATTGACTAAATTACAATGTATAGCTTATAAACATAATCTGTAACCCAACTGCAACTGTAACATAAAGTATGTTATATAAATGTCTATTTTTTAATCCTTTTTTAAGTTTTATTTAGTGTTCTAAAAATCGGTAAAGAGTCCTTAATGGACCATGGACTTGGTGGTATCCATATTTGAAATAAATACTTGATGAAACAACACATAACGCACAGAGAAGTGAGTATGTGTAAGGCTACTGTTGAATGCAGTTACTCCTTTCATCCCCACTTGCCATTCATTCAGTACACACACAAAAATGTGAACTGGTTATTGCGGCATATGTGAACGACCCTTTAGAGATCACAATTAAACCAAAACAAAAGATAAAGTCAGATGAATCTCACCAAATCTAGAAATATAATGAGACCAATCCATCGCAGCTATATCAACCCCTTACAATGATTACATGTGTAGCTAAGCACCAAGGCATTTGACACTGTTGATCTGATCAGTGCAATAGACCAGGGGCCCGTTACTCGAAACTGTCAGAAGTCTAAGTTTGTGGACATCCCATAGAAAGGCATGTTAGTTCTGTAACAGACATTTCAATGGGATGTCCACAAACTTAGACTTATGACAGTTTCGAGTAACAGGCCCTAGTATACTGACATATTCACATTTAGTCTTTGTGAAATGCCCCCCCCCCCCCCTGGTCTATTAGTCTCTGGAATTACCCCCCAAAAAGTAAGTGCTCACCATTAGACATGTACACTAATCTATTGCTATTTTAACATGTTTCTCTCCAGAACCCGTGGTTTACATTTATTTTCACCTGCGATGTACTGGTATAATGGCATCTCTATTAATGGAATCACTTTGCATACATTAACTGTTGCTATGTGTGGCAAGCTTTTGAGTTGTCAAGAGAAACTAGAGAGAATTCTACAACCCTCTCATCTTCTCTTCACATATGATTAGTCGTAAAAAATAATATTGATATGCTGTTCATGTTATGTTTGTAACAAGGATCATGTGAGGAATAAACTTTTTATTTCAAGCAAAATGATGTTTGTATCTGGTAATGCATAACTATCTAAATGCTTATAATGCTTCATTATCAAAGTTAAGCCCAACTTAATTTGTCTTTAGTTCGAGAGAGAAAGAGAGAGATAATTTTTTTTTTTTTTTTTTTTTAATAATATGTAGGAAGAGGTTCTGTGAATGGGAGAGGGAAAGAGAAAGGTGGAATTAATACAGAAAACAGATGGGGACCAAGAAAAGATGGATAGAAAGAGAAAAATAATGATGGAAATTTGAATAAATGAAGTAAAGGCAAAGAATGATGATAGATTACGAGGACAATAATACAAGAGTGAGGGATAAGACGACTGCAGATGATAGATGACAATTTATAGACATGAATATAGATAAAGAGGGTCAATGAAATTGAAGACCTATGCGTTCATAGATGGAGCGAGAAATTACTAGTCTGTGAAAGAAATGTGAAGAAGTATGGAAAATATTAAGATAGATTTAAAGAATCAGAGAGGGAGAGAGAGAAGGACAGATATACACACACAGAGGAAGGAGCAGACAGACAGAGAGGAGAGAGGCATACAGAGGGAGAGAGAGAGACCGACACAGACAGAGAATGCATGAGAAAGAGTAAAAGCTGAGAGCAAGGAAAGGATATAGAATTGAATCTGCTTGAATCAGAACATTTTAAGAAAAAGCATAATATATCCAGATCCATGTGACCACTTTCAAGAAACACTAAACTAAAGTGAAAGGTGAAAAGAGAGCTTTTGAATATTGAAATACCCCGTTGCATAGAAACCATGATAATTTCAAGGAGAGATAATCGACCTCTTTAATAGAAAATCGAGGCATAGCACTCCATTTCAAAACCTAGTCCGCGGGAACAATGAAAGAGAACCCTCGTCTGATATGGGGACACGATCTTCTCAAAAGCTCTTAGGATAAGCTATCATTGCCCAAGAAGACATAGAATTCACGGAAGATCAACTCTACAAGACTCGAGATTCACACTTGACGCGTGGGTTAGGGTGTCTTCGTGTCCCCAATCTTAATCCCAAGTGGGTACTCGTTCGCCCCCTAGTGGTTGGATTACTGGGTCAAGGCGATTAAGGTTGCCGTTCATTTTGTCTTGTTGTTACCGATATTACTTCCTAGCCTCTTTATTGCTTTCCTGAAATCTTATTTGTTTCCTACTTACGATAATAAGTTCATCAAAAATAAGTTTAAAAATCATGCCCATCCGCTCATAATTTGCTTTTCCTGGCAAACATCCATAGCTTCTTCTTACCGTTACCCTTTTAGCTTACTTCCGCCACAAAAAAAGGAGAAAATCCGATTTTAATTATGAGGTTTTTCATATGATCAAAAGTCTGAAAAGCATTTTCCTGGCGCTCTTTTGTGTGTGGTTTTTCTAGCTTTTATTCTAGATTGTCTCCTTCTTAGCCTCCTCAATGTTTCCTTTTTATTTATTTTTCTCGGATTTATGGAGTTCATCGTTTGAACAAAAGTTTAATAAGCTCTTTTCTTGCTTCTCTTAGCTCATCTACTGCCTTTTTCTTACCATTCTTCTTCCCGACCTTTTCATCGCTTCCCTATATCCTCATTTTCCCGATTTATGAGGTTTATTGTTTGAACAAGGGATCCCTCTGCTTTTATCTTGCTTTTCCTATAGCTAACATAACTCACTTATGCTTGTCCTGCATGCATCTTCGTTTTGCTTCTATACCCGACATTTTCCTAAATTCTTATCATGTTATTCCTCAATCTTTTTGTTTCCATCATATATTCTTACCTTTATTTTTTATTTTTTTTGTAAAATGTAGGATAAATAAAACTTGAAACTTGAAAAACTTAAATTATTCGGTTCTCTTCTGTCCCTTAATGCTGTTTCGATCTTCAATTTGTCTGCATGTTCCTACCGATAAAGTTTCCTCTTTCATCGTCTTTCTGCTGTGACACTTGATTTCTAGAACGAGGACAAACTTACTTCTTCTCGATTAATAAGGATGAAAATATCGTATAGGATTCATGATAACTAGAACGGTAGTTTTCGTATGCAAAATAAGGAAAACAAACAGACCATTAAAACAACAACAAAGCATACACTAACAAAACAAGGGACTAAAACGTCGAAATTTGTACTGTGAAACAACGTCTTAACGCATTTAGCTTCTACGACTCGACAAAAGTCTTTCTTCTTTTAAAAAATTGCGAGTAAAGAATCTTCTTTGTTCTTTAAAGAACAGAAGAACGAATCTTCCTTCTTCTAGAAAAAGATTATGAATTATCAATCGCAGGAATGACTGAGCTGTGAGGAAAACTTTACGCCAGTGTCGATGGCTTTCTGTCTCGCTCCAATACTTTCTGAGTATTTTCGCTTCTCTTGCTTTACACTCTCCTGTAATCGAACACTGTCACCAAGTATGCTATGGAGAATCGCATCAATGAGTGTCGTTTCCTTGGTAACGGATCGTATAGATGACCTCTCCTCTGTTTTGTTTGCCAGCCTAATGACGCAAGTTGGAAACGTTTCTCTTTTCTTTTAAAGACTTTGCTGATCTTCGACCTCTAGAATACTTTCATGTCACATTATCTTCTCCCAGCTCTCCTTCAGTTCTCTCTTTTTCCATTTCACGTTCATTCCCTCTCTCTTCCTCTCTCATTCTCTAAGTAGGCTATGTAAATAAAACAAATCATGAATACAAAACCAGAATGTATAGTACAAATAATGTCATTTCTTTATTTTGTAACATTTTCAGTGACATTTATACAATCATGCAAATGATTGGCGCTTCAGCTCACAAAATAGAACAATTACATATTTATTAAACATTTACAAACAAACAAAATATCGAAACAGATGAATTAAACGTGCTATAAATCTGCATAGCTGTTTTGGGGGTTGTGAAGCCAAATCTACGATACATAACATATGCGAGACTATATTACGTTACAAGAAGCCCTATAGTTACTGTGACTGCCATGCAAAACTGCGCACAACGAACAGCATTGTTACATCGTTTCTTTCCCCGTTCATACCGTCCTTTGCGAGGCTTTTCAGGTCTTATATTCCTTGTAATGACATAATTGTCATCTTGTATCTATTTTGAGTCTTTTATTTATACAAGCCTTTACAAGGCGATCTATTTTTGTTTACGATTGACTCTTGTGCAGCCCGTGGAACAATATAACATTATTAAACCTATGTAATTTGTGAATTGAATTGCATTCACATTTCGAATAGTCATGAAAGAAGTATGACGTAATATCAATCTACGAACAAAATGTGAGAGGAGAGATGGATATGAGAATTGAAAGACCGAGATTGGGGGGTAACATATACACGCGATACTTAGTATCTAATGAGGTGTAGAACAGCATTTACGACTCAATACCTTACGCCATGAACGAATAGAAATAGAAAAAGAAAAGGCATGATTTTCAAAGCTTAGACAAAATGGAAGTAGAAGATTTTTTAAAAGTTTTCTGAAGTGATACTTTTTGCGTTATTTTTTATCTAATAATCAAAGCTCTAACTAGTCCTAGTTACTGATTAATTGGTTTCATTTATATTCTATTTAATTCTTTATTGAGTGATGGTACATTATGAGATGTGTTTATGCTCGGGGGGGGGGGGGGCAGGCATCATCACGTTAATTTAAATGTTCAAGCTCCCCTACCAAGGTAGTATAATATTTATATGTTATTTCTTTTCTTTCTTTTTTGAGAGGGGATGGGGCGGGGTAAGCTTTCATTATTACTTTCTCAATTTCCCCATTTGCTGTACAACTCCCCTACTCATCTCCCCCCCCCCCAAAAAAAGAAAAAAGCTTGAGCCATAAGGATTTGTTTCATACCATCTAATCTTTTCTTTCTTTTCTTTCCACTAAAGAAGTACCCAAGGCCATTGTCTATAAGATAATTGGCAAGTTTTACAAGTTTTCCTTTTAGAAAATGGGAAAATCTATCATTGAGTCGACTTTATTTGCATGTGAAAAAATGCCCCCCCCTAACTACTTTGCATGTTTTATACAGACATTAACAAGCTAGGGTTTATTTCTAGTGCTCAAGAAAATGTGTGATGAGGGTTTTTTTCCTTTGTTTTATTCATATTTACTAGACAGGATACAAAGATAAGAGTAAAAGTAGAGAAAAGATGGAAAAGGAAAGTGAAAATTCTAGAGAAAAGTTAATGAATAATGTCATTCTCAGCTGAAGCGTGAATGTATGTGTGAGTTTTCGTTCTTTTCTGACACTTGTACGAGGTTATAGATTCTTTGATTTGATTTCATTCCCTTTCTCACAATCTCCCATACCTACTTTGTACTACATATCTTTCATCCCTTTTCTTTCTAAGCTACTCATATATTTCATTCCTCTACATTGAACTACTTAGTCAGAGATGCCAGTTAGAATTATTCATAGGGCCTGAAAATCACCTAGAATTAGCTATTTTGCACACAAAAAACCTAAACTATGGCCTGAAAATAAATCGCCAGGGCCTGAATTCAGGCTTTTGCCTGAAAACTGGTATTCCTGACTTAGTGTTTTGTAATAACTTTCCCTTTCTGTCTTGTGAATGTTATAAATCATATTATCACTTCTTCCTCCAAGTTTGCTCCTTAGGAAATAGTACATGTAAGTAATGAAGGCAGTCAGCATACCAGTATCCACTAATTGAGATGGGAAGGATGGAGAGAGATCAAAGGCCACACTAAATCAAACGCACCCTTTCTTTCCATTACCCCTTTTGCTTTAAAGCCCCACTGCACTGCTTATAGCTACTTGTGCCCTCTATATAGCAAAAAAAAACTAATCGGTGCCTTTTGGTCCCCCGTGATCCCCTTTTTCTTATGTTAACTGAGAGCTGATATGATGAGATTACCATCTGTCAGTGACCTTGAAGGGAGGTCTAATTCCCTCTGGCCAAACTAGTGCAGAAGGGCTTTAAGCTCTCAAAATTCACCATGTTTTCTTTTCGGTTCAGCTTATGATTCAGAAATGTTCGCTCTCTTTCTGCACTTTGAGTGCTTTGAGGCAACACATCACTTCATTAATCTAATATTTCTCCTTACCATAGAGATAAAGATGAGAACGGAAATCTAAATACCGGTATCCTCTCACGAGATGCAGGATGAAGATATCACAGGCGACAGAACATCAAGACAAAATAACAACAAAGCAAAAATCATGTCATAATTGCTTGTACAAAAATATAATCCTCTCTCTATAAGCATACAAAAAGCATTTCAAAATATCACAACATATATCATCAATGATTTTGCTGCTCATTCTTACATTAGTTAAATTTGGCAAACATTGAGCTTGTGCCGGACTTTGCACCACAAATCAATTAATTGTAGAGTAATCATTAAATTCAATAATGAACCCTTAGATCAATAGAATATATTTTTTAAATAATGAATCGTCAAATTAATGGACTAATTTCTGCACAAAATAAAGTGCTTTTGAATTTCAAGCACTTATAAACATCAAGAGAAATATCGCCTGACTCAACAGCTATGCTGTGTGAAGACTGAAGACGTTACTCAGGAGGGGAAAATGCTCATAAATCAAACAATCGACTGGTAGTATCGGCAAGATGGGAATAGATTGTTAGTTCCTATAAACTGTGAGTCTCTAAAGTAAAACATTTTGGCTGTAGATATCACCATACCATCTATTCTTTCTCTTTGAATATCACAGAATTAAGAATAAACAGTGATGCAATGGGGTTGTGAGATACACCTGACCATTACAGCACTGCCTTGCATTATTCTTCACATCTGTATGTATCATAATATGAATTTGCTTCTTGCATGGGCACCGCATCTTAGTTGTGTAGAGAAGTCTCTAATGACCTTTGAAATGTTCGTGCAAAGTCTATGGAGTACCAAGGATCGGAGACAATAAAGGGACTTGATACAAAAAAGCCAAAATTACGTCGTATGGGAAAAATCTTATGCATGCCGTTACTCTTTGCTTTCCATAATTGTTCTCCAGACTGACTGAAATGTTTTGAGCAAAATGCCTTTAGAATTTTGACAAGATAGCCGTACATAGTTTATCCAAGATTAGATGCAATTGAAGAACAGTTGAATCGCCATAGCACTTGGATAAAAGTTTGAAGACTAATACAAATTCTTGCTTTGAACATCTTTGAAGATTTGGTTCATCCTGTCATTTAGAAGACAATAAATGAGAAGCTTTTGTAGTTTGGTTGCTGAATACATTATCCGTGATACGTTTCTTGTCCAAGAATTTACTCTGGGAATCAATTCTTATCCCATCTTCACTTTGCAGCTTTGTTGGACAGTCCCAGAAGAGGAAGAAACTTTCGCATGAAGAGGTCACCTTCCTGTTTCGGATGCAGAACATCGGTGGGATCGTGGTCGGATAGACTTCAAGCGGTAAAATGTCACACCTCAAGAAAATCTACCAAAAACACAAGAAATGTTGGTGATTTTCCTTGCATGACGAACTATAACGAGAGATTGCTGTCTAGATACTAAGCATCCAATCCTAGAGCACAAAGGGATGGCTGATTTTCAGTAGAGTCATCAAATTGGCAAACTTTGTTTTCATTTGAGACTGTTTCAAAACAGTTCTCCTAATTCATGGCCAGTTTTGAATGTCTCTTTTTCTTTCTTTCTTAATGGCACGATCCAGATCTCTTGACTCTTTTGGTACTCAAAACATCCTCCTGTCTTTGTCCATAGCTCGTTTTAAACTTTGTTTTCCTTTAAGGCATGATCCAAGATCTCTTCGCTTTCAAAACTCTCTTTTGCTTTCAAAACATCCTCTCATAAGTTCTCAAGTTCTTTTCTCTCCCCATTCCATTGTTGGTGGACGGATGATGGGCGGGGTCTTAGGAGTAGCGTCGTCATAATGGAGGTTGGTTAACACCAGGATGAAGAAAGAAGCAACTGTTTCCTCTCAAGCAACCCCTCTCAGACTGGAAGTGATAACACACCTGCCTCCGACCTATGGGTAAAGATAAAAATAAAAACATTGGGAATTAGGAGAGCTACAAAGTTTGAAGTGCTTATTAAATTAATCATGTGCCTGGCAAATGGATATTGTGGAAACATTCCTCTTTGCTTAAAGCATGTTAGGAATTCCCTTATTAATGCCATTCTGTTATGGCATGAGGCAGAGGTTTCTTAAAGGCCCACTGCACTTCTTGTAGTTACTTGCGCCCTCTATATAACAAACAATGCCTAATCGGTGACCATTGGTCCCCCATGATCCTCTTTTTCTTATGTTAACTGATAGCTGAGTTGATGAGATAACCACCTGTCCAGTGACCTTACAGGGCGCCAGGGCGGTCTAATCCCTCCTGTAAACTATGGCAGATGAGCTTTAAAGCCTCATCCTTAAATGTTAAGGGTCATGGAAATGAGATTATTCATCTCCAAAACAGTACAGGAGCAAAACATTGACGAACGGCATCTTCAAATTTTGATTCTTGGTAAAACAATTCATCATTTCTCCTGAAAAATCAAGACTTATTTAGCTTCATGTCACATGAATACTGCCAGTTTGAGGAGGAACCGATCAATCACGGTAAGATACTTGTAGTGAATGGAAGTTTCGTCTTGTTGTATTTAAAAATCATTTTCATTTTTTTAAAATGAATATTTCTAAGATCATTTTAAAGACCAGGTCGAGTCATCATTATGATGAACAGTGGTCCAGATCTAAGTACACAAAGAAAGACAAAAGAAGAAAAATAATATCACTTACCATCATTAGCTTTGCTTCCGCCCCTTCCCCCTCTCCATGGCCCCCTAGGGCCCATCCCTCTGCCTGGATGGCCACGTCCCCTATCTGGGAAGCCGCCGCCCCTACCAGGAGGTCCCATGCCCATGCCTCGGGGGCCAGGGAAATTGGGTCCAGGACCGGGTCCAAACTGTGGATGGAATTGCCCACCGGGTCCCATGCCAGGTCCTGTTACCAAAGAGGAATGCAAAGGGATTATTGATCAACTTTTAGCAATGAAGGGTAATTGGAAGGATATAATAGAAGAATGTTAAGACAGACAGGGAGAAAGGATGCAAGTACAGTACACTGTCCCCTGAAAGCTACAAAATTCAACTCTTTGTTAACACTATTCTGACAGTCGGTGGTTGATATTAAAACAATCCGGATTATATACACACTACTGTAACAACAATACCTAAATATATATATACTGTACACAATACTGTTTACTTATGGAAACATATCAGCAAGTATTCCTTAGGAATTTCTCAGGATTTGTGTATTTATCAATGTACATTTCCTATAAGTAAAGATTTTGTATTCATCTTCACACTTAAGATTTTGGTCATGCATTAATTAAACACATATTAGGTGTATAAATCTTTCTCTATCTGTTTCAGGTAGGTACAAAAGGGACAAGTCAACATAGTTTCATATAAAGATAACTAAAATCTTTGTAAAGATATGCAACATTTTGGGGATCTTAAACTAGCCAGCCCCTTTTGGTTTTATTCCATACAAATCTATGAATCCCTTACCATCAAAGTGTGGACCTCTTGGTCTTGGGCCACGGCCTGGTCCCATGCCCATAGGCCCATCCGGTCCCATACCCATAGGTCCATCTGGACCCATACCCATTGGCCCATCTGGTCCCATGGGAGGAAATGGCCCTCCATGGTCGTTGTGAGGTCCAAAGTCTCCTGGTCCACCAAAGTTGCCTGGACCTGGACCATGTCCTGGGCCATGGCCAGGATGGAATTGGGGTGCGTTACCGTCTTCTCTCTGTTGATTGTCTGTGGGAGATTAAAAAAGGTCAAAGTTTAAAGGTCATATGTTGACAGTATTCCTGATACAACATAGAATCGTACCAATGGATGTTACAGGTTTTGGAGGAAAAAAAACATTTAAAAAATGTCCTTCAAGAATTGACCGAGGCATGGTGTCAATTGGATTTTCCCGTATCTGGCATTTATTGATTTTTTTTCCCCTATATTATTATTATTATTATTGTTTACATTGGCCCATCTAAAATATTCCTTATTTGTTATCTCTCTTCTCACAAGAGTACATGGATCTTTTTTTGTTTTGTTCTTCAGAGAATTATACATTACTCAAAGTGGCTCAAACAATTAACTGTAAAAACCGAAGGAGACAAAATGGATGCGAGTACATACCACCAGGGTTTTGGTTTTTGAAAGGTTCCAGCATTTCCTTCAGCTTGTCGAGGTTTTCTTTTTTTAGAAGATCACTTCCAGCATTGTCAGTTCCACCCTCCTGCAAGCAAAATTGAAAATCATTTGGTTATTTTTCAATCCTCAAACTACTGGTATAGGAAAGCACAATGAAAAGGAATTGTTTATGTTGTTGCGTAATTTGAAGTCCAAAATATAACAGGGCATGCTCAAGGCATTTTGTCCTGTATGTCACCAACATCAAAAACATTTCTAGTAGATGAGCTTAAGGGTCTTAGTATTGGGTAGATTACTCAGGATAAATAGACTCGGTAGTCTGGTTTGTTTTGGTAGACATGTTGTTTATTCAAGTACCACGGATACCGGATATCGCATATCGTAACAGTATACTTGGGAATTCTATCAAATTGATAGCCTTACAACAACTTGTATCGTACATAATAACTAGAAAAATAACACAGGATGATTTTTGTTGAATTTTCTTTATTCCAGGCAACCTATGGGACAGCAAGTGACCATAACGTCAGATTTTATATCAAAATCCTGCTGGAAGTACTCACCGATAATGTAGCCAGGAGGTTCTGGACGTTCTTGATGGTGGTGTTGGGTGAGGGTGGGGTGTTCCCTTGGCCTGGTGGTGGCCTTTGCTGCTGCTGCTGCTGCTGCTGCATGGGCCCCCTAGGGGAACCCCCTGGGTGCCCTACTTGGTGCCCCCCCGGGTGTCCCCCCGGTGCAGGCCCCAGGAGTCCAGTACCCCTCATACCACCGTGCCCTATGCCACCGCTGCTACCAGGACCACCATGGGGCGGCATAAATGGAGGTTGGTCTCCGATGAAGAGGGGTTCTACATCAGGCACCTCTGCACTCGACTCCTGTGAGGGACAAAAGGAGATGGGAGTAGTGAGTGGTTTAACCCTAGAAAGCTCTAAAGAGCCCAGGAAAAAGTATTAAAAAAAAACAGCTCTCATTGAAAAAGCTCTGCAAGATACATACATGACCCAAGTTTGGCAAGAATCCAACAATCGCTTCTAGAGATAACACGATCACAATAACGGGACGTATGTACAACCCGAAAACAAAATGCTTCCGACCACTTCGTAACGGAGGCATAAAAACATAAGACACATAAATACTGGCATGACGCTATCTCACAATTACACACCTCGTTCATTTGCTTCACCACATGTACATGTATGTTGTACACCTATTACCTATGGACTGAAAGAGCTATGGCAGGGACCCTCAATGTCTTGCTGAACAGTTCATAGACTTATGCGCTAGACTAGGACACCTATAGAGACAATATCCTTGTAAAGCGCGACTCCAATGAAGACTACAATATTGCTATAGATCAACTATTTGATGAGACACCTCAATCGAAGAGAGTAATAATAATATATATATCTGTAAAGCCCTTCGAGAGGGCCTGTGGTCCAGAAAAGCGCTATATAAGAACAAGCTATTATTATTATTATTCTAATGATTCTCCAACTTACATCTTCAAGGGGGATGAGGCCAGTCTCCTCCAAGCCCCTCTTGACCTCGGGGTCTGGCTCCTTGGGGGTGAGAGGAAGGTTCATCTGATCAAAGAAGATCTCTCTGAGGACCATCTGTTCCCTCTTGGTCTGGACGGTCTTCTCCTGGCTGTTACACCCGTAGGACACAGGCACGCCCGGCAGCTCCATCAGCACTGGTCTCCTCCACTGTGAGACGAGGCAGAGAGGCAGAGAGGTAGAGAGGTAGAGAGAGAGAGAGGGGGGAGAGGGGAGAGAGGGAAAGAGAGGTAAAGAGAGAGAGGTAAAGAGAGAGAGGTAAAGAGAGAGAGGTAGAGACAGGTAGAGAGAGAGAAGTAGAGAGAGAGGTAATGAGAGAGGTAGAGAGAGGTTGAGAGAGGTAGAGAGAGAGGTAGAGAGAGAGGGAGAGAGAAGTAGAGAGAGAGAGAGAGAGAGGTAGAGGTAGAGAGAGAAGTAGTGAGAGAAGTAGAGAGAGGGAGAGAGGAGAGAAAAAGAGAAAGAGAGAGAGAGAGGGAGGGAGAGATAGAGAGAGATAAATAGTGTGTGAGAGATGGTAAACGAGAGTGAGCAACTTTGAAGGGGTGTTTTGACATCCACTCTTTCTGTTCCTCTAAGTTTATGCAATTTATCATAAATGAATTTCGACATACATTTTAATATTCAATTTAATTGTATCATTGCTACATAAGGAAATAAAAGGTTTTTCATGGGATAAACTTCACAATGCATTGACCACTTTCTTCTTTAAAAATAAGAAAGAATTCTAAATCCAAATACATAACATTGCATAACAGTCCTTCAACATTAAATCTGGCAATATGCGCTACAGGTTGTATTTCATCAAATATATAGAGCTGGGGTCAGGTAAAGTCTACGGTTGAAATAATTCATTCTGACAAAAGAGTTGAAATTGATTGCTGAGCGATCGTCACCGGAAATTATCTTGGGCATGCTTACCTGGAAGTACTCGAGCGTGACCTTGCCATTGGTCCTCTCCTCGTCGTCTGTATGTCCGGCCATCTTGATGGCGTTCTTAATGGCTTGTTTCTCATTCATCTTATCTATCTGCATAGCATCCTGGAAGTCCTTTACCTTGTTCACATTGACTGGATTGAAACAAAACAGAAAACATATTAAAGGCTGTCTGTACTAGTTTGGCTAGGAGGGATTAGACCGCCCAGGGTGGTCACTGACAGTGGCTATCTCATCAACTCAGCTCTAAATTAACATAAGTAAAAGAAGATCATGGGGGACCAATGGTCACCGATTAGGCATTGTTTCTATATAAAGGGAGCAAGTAGCTACAAGTAGTACAGTGGGGCTTTAAGCTTATTTTACTTTTAGAAAAAATGCAATCATTTGACAGTGCGTTGACAACGCCATCTCCCATTTTTTCTTAGACAATAACATGATCTCTGCTTTGATTTCTATGAAATGGAGCTTTGTTTTAAGAGATAATCAAATGGTGTGTTTGCCAGTAAAAATCTTATTCTCGTTTTCCAATGATCTGTATGCAGTATGTGAAGGAATCTATGTATAATAATATGTATAATAATTACTGGTTCGGGTCACCACACGATTCATAATAATAATAATAATGGTGGCTTCTTATATAGCGCACATGTCCGTCACATTGTGACGTTCCTGGTGCTGCCCCGATTATAACCCTGACTTTAGCAAGGCGGCCACTGCAGCGCTCTAGCATTTCAAGGAATTAATTCCTGCCAGGTACCCATTTACATCACCATGGTTGAGTGTGTCAACGTACCATGTAACATGGCAACGCAAACAATTTCTTTTGAAATAAAAAGCCCAAAACAAATTCCTTACCTCTCTCCGTCTCATCCAGCTCGAAATAATAAACATCCACCAAGTCCGTCTCCTCCTTCCATCTCACACTCTTCTTGCTCTTGGATGGACCAAACTTGAGATTGCTCTTGCCGATCGTGATGGGTCTGTCTTCGTTCCAGTCGTCCCCCATGTCACCTTCTTCCTTGCCTCCCTTGGGCTCCTTGGTATCCTTGGTTTCCTTGGGATCCGTCTCCACCGTCATCTTCTCGGCCTCCTCCTCCTTCTTCTCTTCTTCTTCGGCAGGTTGGTTGGAGGAGTAGAAGGAAACTGGAATGGAAAGTAAAGACGAAATGGGAGTTATGGTGTGGTAGGAATAGGAGACACTTGCACGTTTCTGTGCAATGTATGTTGTGGTATGTTTTTACCCTTTTCAGAGGTTGACTTGTCAACAGTCAACCAAACTGCCAACATGATATTCAATGTAACTTTCACATAATTTTTGTAATGATATTGAAACGGTATAAACTAGAACAACTGTCACTATTACTACTTATCATCTCAAATAATTCTTTAAACAAAATGAATAACTGTTTGATCACAAAGAAAAAGAGTATCCAAAGATTATAAAGGATTTTGTTCAACTTACATTTGGGTGGTTCCACTTTGATCTCCTGTGAATAAAATGGACGAAATAAGAAGAAAAATTAATAGGAAAATGTATCCATACATGCATAGAGGATGGAGAAATGCATCAATGATTTTGCTTTCAAATAACAGCGAATGACCTTTCAATAGACCAATTTATGGATGTTTCTTTCCTGGGGACCTAGTGATGGGTTATTCCATTAACCTGTTATTAATGAATGAACTACAAAACTTGGAATCCACTCTGCATACATTACTTGTTGCTGTGTTGGGTAAGCCTCAGGCAAGCTTTCAGGTCGTCAAGAACCACCTTTGTTTAGAAAGTATGCATACATTTGAATATGTTAGTAAACCGGTCTATTGGGTAAGGGTATTTAAAGTCTGAAGGTGTTGGAAAAGACAGGTTATTAATCCCTTTGCGAGACTTTGAGACTTTAAGATTATGTGTATCATTTAAAGTGAGCAGATTCCTGGAGCTAACTAAATGAATATGCTGATACAGCCAAAGGAAAATAAATGTTGAGGATGAAGAGTCAGAAGAACAAACAGATAAATGAGGATGAATTTGACAGAAGAAACAAATATACGAGAAAGGAGGCAAGTTGAGAGCATGCTTATGTGTGTGCCCTAAAGAACAGTCAGTGCCCTGTTTTATAAAACTTGTTGTCAATAACAAGAAGCAGTAACTGTTATAAGCTACTGAAATCCATTGCTTTGATTTGTCAGAGATCTGTGGCAGTTGCTATTGATACAGTCAAACCTGCTTTAGTGACCACCTGTCTACAAAGACCACATTTTTTGTTTCCCTTGAAAATGGTTTCTCATTGAAACATGTACTAAAGGAACCTGTCTTCAAAGACATTCCCCCCCCCCCCTTTAGTAAAAAAGAAGGGAAAAAATGAATCGGGGGAAAAAGAATGGCATCTAACAACCCCCCCCCCCCCTTTTGAGTAAGAAAATCAGGGGAAAATTTGTAAAAAAGGGAAAATAAGAGAAAAATTTGTAAAATAGGGGTAAAATCGGGTAGAATATAAAAAAAATAAAAAATAAAAAATCGGAAAACCGATTTAATTTGGGTAATTATCAGACCTGTATACATGTAGTTGACTGTAACATGTTTTATGAAACAGGGCTTTGATGTCAACGTTCCATATTTAACAGTGATCCTACCTCTGGTGGAGTGGGGCTCTTTGCCTTGACGGAGCCGGTTGAGTTGGTCCTTGCAACCTTCTTGGGGATCTTCTTCTTCACCACCAGACTGGGAGCGTTGAGGGCATCCAGGAAGCCAGAACTCTCTTGTACTGTGGTATCAAAATATCAAAACCATTTAATAATAATAATAATAATAATAGACATTTTTATAGCGCTGTCTATCTAAAAATTCTATTCCGAGGTGCATTTATTATTACCCTGGCTTTAGCCTAGCTGCCATTACAGCGCTCCAGCATTTCAAGGAATAAATTCCTGCCAGGTACCCATTTACCTCACCTGGGTCGAGTGTGGCAAATGAAGATTAATACCTTGTTAAAGGACAATAGGACATTAAATGTTTATACGGCTTGTTATGCAAGATTCACATATTGTAGTGGGAAATTGGACAAGCTCTGTGTCAGGCTCATGAAATTGAACAGCTGATCTCAATTTGCCATTTTACTTTCACCTCATGAAGATAATGATGATACCAATAACATAATATGTCTTGTTTACCACATCAGTATGAATACCATTCTCCCTGGTGGCCTTGCAATCAAATCATTACTCAGCTCAAGCCAAGCTACCATGATACAGCACTCAGTCATCCCAAAACAACCTTCCTACCATTTAACACCCTGGTGAAGAGTGGCAAAATGTAGATCACTGCACCAGGGCTTTGACCCATGACCTTCCCTTTTCAAGTCAAGCGTTTGAACTACATGACTAAGCAGTTACTTAATGTAACACTCCCAATAGAGGGTAGATGGAAGGATTAAAACCCAGTCATACTTACATTTGTGTTTGGCAGGTATGATTTTAATTCTGCCGTGAGTGTTAGCCCCTGGTTTGGTAAGCTCGTCTGGTCTGGGTCTCTTTTCAGTGGGAGACAAGGATTTGCTGAAAATTGGACTGAAAAAAAAGGAAAAAAGAGAATAAAAATAATTCGATTCTTTATCGATCACCTCTTATTGATATACCAAAGGGATACAGAGAGCATTAAAAATAGGGATACCACATATCAAGATATTTGTATGTGTGGAGGTAGTTCTGGAGGAATGAGATGGCAAAAATATTTTGGAAGATAGTACAATATACACAAATGTACACAAAGAATGTACACAAAGAACCAAGGCAACTATTAAAGAGATTTGGCCACATTAAAGCAACAATGACATATGCTCCAGCAATTTTCCAGGGCTTTTTTCTTCCTTCCCCCCTTGAATAGATAGACTTAGAACATGGGCTAAGAATTGGGTATATACATTAGCCTTAGGTCTAGGACTGGAGTTAGGTTTAGGGTTGTGGCTAGGTCTGTTGGGTCCACAGTTAATATAAAGAACTGTCAAAGGAGCATGTACTGCAAAATTGAATATCAGGGCTTACCCATCTTTCCTAATTGTCAGAGTTGGAATAGGTTTCTCCGTCTTGGGAAGGGGAACAACGGGGGCCTTCTTCTTGAACTTTGGCAGAGGTAGCTCTGACTCTTTCTCCAATCCTGTCAATCAAAAGGCAAATATCAGAATAAAAATTGGTGCCACTGAGGCTGCAGATCTCAATTTAAATCACAATACCAGTATGTTGAAAAATTAATGTTTTGCTTTTTGCTTATGAACATTGAAATCAGATGTATATTTTATGACAAATTCAAATACAGTCAAACCTGTCTATAGCGACCCACCCAAGGGAAACACAAAAAGTGGTACTTGTGGACAGGTTCCTTTAGTACATGTTTCAATGAGAAACCATTTTCAAGGGAAACACAAAATATGCTTGTTGTAGACAGGTGGTCTTTGTAGAGGGTTGGTCACTAAAGCAGGTTTGACTGTATATCAAGATCTTTTAAATCATCCTTCTTAAGTTATTCAATGTATATGTTGGAATATCAACAAAAGAAGAAATTCCATAATACTCAACACCAAATTTTGAATGCTTTTTATAGGATGAACTCCTGATTTTGGCTTTACATACCTGTTAAACGCATTTTCGAATGAGCCGGTCTCATAATCGCCGCCCTTTTTTTCTTCACCACATCCTCTTTCTTTCCCTCTCCTTCCTTCTTAACCGGCTCCTCGCTCGAGTTTTTCCTGGTAGCGACTTTGTTGGCAGCGCCTGCTCTGGTCGTCCTAGAATCACTTGGATGCCTCAGCCTCGAGGGTTTGCTTGTATCGCTTGTGTCCATTGGTTCGTCGTCGTTTGAACCCAGCCGCGACTTCTTGGCGAGCGGTTCCTCGCTCTCGTCGTCTGCGTCCCCGTCATTGCTGAAGGACTTTCCTACTTTCTTTGCTTTGAGCTTCTTCTTCATACTAGGTGACTTTTCCTTGTCTACTTTATCTGTAGAATACATGGAGATTCAAAGGATAGATAAATGGTAAAGTAAGAACAGAGAACAAAATATATACATAGCAGTTGATAAAAATCATCTTTTAAAACTCAAAATAACTCATAGAGATCATCTAAGAGTTAAGTTTTAAAAGAAGTTAGTTTTGTAAAGGAAGTTACTTTCTAAAAGAAAATCTTTAGAAGGCTTTAGTGAAAAAAAATTACACTGATTGAAGGCAAAACAATGTTGCTTATACTGTATAGAGGAAGTGAAACTTTGTCTAGGTTCTGCATTATCCTAAGTACAGCAGGCAAGTTTTCTAATACACAAATATTTGTGAATCTTTTCCATTGAAGCAAAAATGTTTTCTACTCAAAGTTTCCTATATTCCATTGTTTTAGAAGGCTCTACGAGTGGCGTTCATGAATGTGCTGATTGATGTGGAGTTAACGATGTTGTAACTTAGATGGTTCAACTCTATGATAGCACATGGAAAGTCTGAATGCCTGTATTGTTCAGTTTATGCTTTGATGGGGTTGTAGCACTAGCTGTTTATAAATAGCCCACTATCATTTTTAGTTGATATACTCAACAAAAGTTGAAAAACTCGTTTGATTTTTTACATTTATCATTATTGCAGGTATACTTCATGTAAGTGCTTGTGTCCTCCCCCCAAGTCGGCTGTTTTAAATGTACCTATTTAAATCTTTTTACCATGCTTGTATCGACTTTTATGACATAATAGGAAGATTGTAAACAATAACAGCTCATGTTTTTGTTGTATTTCTGAAAACTTGTGCAATGTGTTTAGGGTTTTTAGTTACAGAATCTAAGTCCCATTTTTATATTGCTATTTTTTTTTTACATGCATATCTTTAAAAGTGTTATCTATTGTGCCAGCATGTAAACATGAATATTACAGCCATGGCTGTCTTTCATGTAAAATTATATTTGTATGAACCATGCTTGTGCTATAATAACAAACATTTTCAAATTGAATTGAGCTGTTGTGTGTCACTTGTCTGTCTATCAATGAACTCACCAGTATTTGAAGTCCTGATGATGCCTTTCCATGTCGCAACCAGGTCGTCTGCCATGGCCTTGAGTTCTATATAGAAGGGGCAAGAAGTAATTAATAGAGCGTGACTCACCACAGGAAGTGATACAAAGGTCAATCAAAGGATGTCTGGGATTAAGAACAGACTACAATAGTGTCCCATCATCCTGGGGTATAAAGGGTATTGAACAGAAGGGTATTGAACAGAAGGGTATTGTTTCACAGAACTTATCATCAGTGACAAATGACAGTCTTTGTTAATATAAGCTCACTGAAATCCTTGCTTCTGATTGGTTATCAGCAGATTTCTAACTGATTTTTGTCATTGAAAAAAGGCTTTGTGAAACGGGTCCCAGATCTTTTGTGTACTTCAATGGGAACTATCAGCAATGGGTGAGTTAGGTCCCATCTAGTCATTATCACACCAATCCCCACAATGGTGTGTGTTTGACCTAGGCTAAGCACATTGAACACAGTGCCAGTACTTATTCATGTTTGATTCAAAATGAGGAGAGAAGCCATTTTAGGAGATGAAGTATTGTAGAATGATGAACAAAACAATTCTATGCAGCTTATCAACTTGTCTGGAATGGCACCCACTTAACCCATAGCCTTAAAGCCTATGGGAATGAGATAATTCAGAAGTGAATGGTTTAAAGGATTGGGTATCTTTGTCTCAGATTCTGAAACAAGATCCTGGATTTAGCTCATGCTGCAATGATAATTATAAACCTTTAGGTCAGTCAGGAACCCCATGACTTTTACAAGAATTAAAAAAAAACGTTTTCTTGCACTACTATTCAGGAAAATTAGTATGGTAAAACCGGGTCACTCAAAGATTTTTACTTTTTTGAGGCACTTTATGATCATTTTGAGGCACTTTATGATCATTTTGAAGAGCAATTTTTTAGGGCTTCAATATTACACCATATCACAGACACTGATAACACGTAGGGCCATGCATCTCAGATTTAACATTGTTAAACGGTGCCTTTAAGAGTGGACTTCAGTTCTTAAAGCAAGGAAGTTTCATGAAGCAGAGGTCTCTGGGGCCACTCTTAATAATTCTTACACACAATTGAGGTTTACATTAACATGTAAGAATTAGCCCTTCTGCCCTTTCATATTGACACAAAGAGTTCCTGTTCATACAAAAATAGACGCGATAACATGATGCAATGTGTAAGGAAGTTGGAATAATGCATAATGCTAAACAGGGAAGCGAAAGCTGAAAACCCAGCTAGTTCATGGAAATATCACTTCCCTGTTACTATGCAGTATCAATTTCCGATGTATAAAAAGTGAATGTATACAAATTGGTCGGCAGCAGAACTAAGCATTGGAGAAAGATTTAAAAGCAAATTATGATTGAAGAATTGGACTAAGGCTCATAAGGCACATTCACAATGACACAATACTAATAATGAAAAACGATTTTGTGCATCCCCCCCCCCCCCCCCCAATTTGTGATCCAAAGCTTTGTTTGGATCATGTATAATGTACATGTAAAATCAGAACCAGTTACATTTTATGCCGGTACCCATATTTTTCAATGCTGTATGATTTATATCTACACACAAGGGAGCATCTCACAACATGAATTATTCATTAGGGTTTATCTTAAATATTTGTTCTCTAAATAATAAACTTAAATAAATGACCAACTTACCATCTTCCCCTTCAGTTTTGCTGAATGATTTGATAATTTTGGCAGTATTATTCTGGTAGAAGAGAGGACAAAAATTAAATCACACATGTAAGTTAACTTTGATATATCAGCTTGGTAAACCTGCTCAATTCAAGAACTAAACACAAAACTGAACTTGCTTGATTCAGGATATCTGTGAGAAATAGAAGCTCTTTGAATTTTATGAATGGCTTGATCTGGGCCCAGGTTCTCGTTATCAATACAAAATGCTAAATTTCTACGACAAATTTGATCACAGCCAATCAAATGCAATGATTTCAGTAGCTTATAACTGTGAGTTTATATGAATAAGGCCCCAATCTAACTGAATAATTGAACTAACTTTCTTAAGGTTACCTACACGTATAGTAGCACATAACCCTTGAAAGGGTTTGACTAACTTTTGTGAAATAAGAATGAATTAAACTTCTCTTTAAAATGAAAAACAACAACAAACAAAAATATTTTATTTACCTTCTTGAGTATATCTATGGTAACAGGAAGCTCTTTGAAGACTTTAATGAGTTCTAAGATGACTGGGTTCTGCTCCTCCGTCTTGGCATCTTGGAGCCAGGTGTTTAGAAGCTCCCAACCACCTTCCTCTATGAACCTGAGATAGAGAGAGAGAGAGAGATAAAGATGGAGATGGAGATGGAGAGAGAGAGAGAGGAGGGGAGATAGATAGACAGAGAGAGAGGTAGAGACAATGAGAGAGAACAAAAATTGAAGTTACAAAAAAGAAATGATTATACAATAATATGATATTATATATTGATATGCTGTTTCATTACCTTTGTGTGTTCACTCTTCAAACTGTATAATAGTTGCAACTTGTCTTTGATAAAACCCTGTTACATTCTTTTTCATGTGAAGTCAATTCAAATGGAATGTAAAATTGAAAATGATTTGTTATATTATATTCTTTTTCATGGGATGTTAACTCTAATGAATTGTGAAATTTTGAACATTCATAATTAAATACATTAATAAATGCCATTCGTAATGCTTATTACATTTCATTCTTTTGTCAAGTTTCCGCAGATTCTTCCCTATTTAATTCATCATGTAACATTACCTTTGAAAATTATCTTCAATGTTTACAATTCCCCAGCCAAAAAAGGTAAATCATTTAAATGCGAGTATCGACTATCCCGATTCCTACGCATACTCACTTTTCCTGTACAGCACTCGCCTTTGTAGCTATCAGGATATTCATGTAGATACAACGACTAACCATCTTTTTGGCACCCCTCATCAATCTGTCAAAACAAGAAATGACATAAGTATTTAATTGTATTGATTCATATATAAGTGTCACAATTAAGCATCATCAATCTGTGTTCTTTGTGACCAGGTTTCTACTCTTCAGGGGGGTGTTTCACAAAGATTTTAAGTCGAAGTTAGACTTAAAATTACGGAGAGCCATTTCAAGCCTTAAAATAAAATATATTAAAAAGCAAAAATCCAAGTATTTTAGACTTCTATAAATTCCACATCAAGAACATGAAATCTCCTTGATGATAGAAAATATGAATGATTTGAATCAATATTTTGTGCCTTTCGAAATAAATTTCACAAAATATTTTCATAAATACTAACAGCTTTCCATAATTGTTAAGTCCAACTTAGAGAAAAGTTCAACTTGGAATCTTTGTGAAACACCCCCCCCCCCTGGTTTTTACTCTCTTCAATCTATACTATCTTTTCAGAGTATGGTGACCTTTGAACTTTCACATTTCATGTCTTTCCATATATATTGATCACAACAAATCGTTGACGACCTTTGGACCATAGCATAATGATTCTGTTGGTACAGGCAAACATCCTTTGCTTTAGTGCAGTCATGCATGGTGAACAACTGGCATGGAACGCCAAATGAACATTCATATCCTTTCAATTCTTTTGACTCCGTAACCATCCGGAAGACTTTCAGCAATAAAAATGCGATTTTGAAGGGGAAGTACAAACAAAAGCATTTTAGTCACTTTGCGTGTTGGGATAAATGGGAAGGTAATCCAGCATTACTGATTAAGTTAATTGGAAGTGCCACATACGTATAAAGTATACAACTTTTACAGAAAAATCGTAACTTTCTTATTTTTTGTCAGATTTCGTTCAAACTTTCACCAGTCTGCATCTCTGATTTCTCTTCTTTCTTTTAGAGTTATTTGCTTTTAAGATTGGATTTCCTTTTCAGTATACTTCCACTTTTAAGTAAGGGATGAAACAGTCCCTTGGATAGGACGTTAAATGGAGGCCTTGTGTACAGGAGAGTCACCACCCTTGCACGTTAAGAATCCACTGCACTACTCGTATAAGAGTAGGGGGAAACCCCTGTGTCACTATGAACATGACAGACAAAGAAAGCGGACAAAATATACAGCTCCACCTACACACCCCAATCAGGCCGAGTATATACCGCATCTGCAAAAATCTTCAGTATTTAGGGAGGCAGATTATCTTGAAGAAGAAGAGTTAAAGAATACAAAAAAGTGTCTGTAAGGTGAAAAATAAACAAAAATAAGATAGAGGACAATCACAAAAGAAAAATTGAGAAAGCGTAAGGGCCTTACATGAGTATTTTAGTGACCTCAGTGACACCCTTGATGCCCCCTTCCTTACTGAGAAGAGATGAGAGAGCCTTGAGGAGCTGGCTTGGGTCCACCGGTGTGTGACGAGCCTGCAAGGAGGATTTAAAGATACAAAACATTGATGACTGAATAAAGATAAATATAAAATGCATTAGCATACAAAATAATATATGGAGGGTTCAGTGACACAAAGACGTAACTCTATATTTTGCCAAAATGAGTATTTGATATCAAAATGTTCAGAAAAATGTGGGCTGTCCAGGAAACACAAAAACTTAACTCCACCCAACACCTCATTGAAGTCAATGGCTAGTGAAACATAGACTTAACTCCTAAGGCCCAAGTGCTCACTGACACATAACCACTTTTCCTCAAAATGGCCAAAATGGAGTTTCGTCTTTGTGTCACTGACCCCTCAATATATTAATTAAAAAAGTTACATGACAAATGACGAAAATAATAAAAGATTTAAAAGGATGAAAGATCAAAAGAACAAATAGAATTATAATCATAGTTGGTGTGAAGAATCGGCGATAGATGGGATAAGTGCAGAGTCTTCCAGTTCTACAACAGGGCATATTTATTTGTTTGGGGTTCACAGTTCACAATAAGAGGTTTGGCAACACGGTAGCTGTAGAAGATTAAGATGACGTGGTGACTGAAACAGTTTAAAGCCTGTCTGTACTAGTTTAGCCAGGAGAGATTAGACCACCCAGGGTGGTCACTGACAGGTGGCTATCTCATCAACTCAGGTCTCATGGGGGACCAATGGTCACCGATTAGGCATTGTTTTCTATATACCTGTAGAGGGAGCAAGTAGTTACAAGCTAGTAGCAGTGGGGCTTTATAAGAAAAGGATTCGAGAAGGGCAAGACGGCAAGAAGAATGACTCTGGTGTGCAAGGCGAGTAAGAGATATTTCGCAATCATATCAATAAAGAATGAATCAGGAAGAGAGTAGAGTCAGAAGAGACTATATGAGACATAAAAGAAAAGTTTTAATCAAAATGCAATTTACAGATTAATGTTGTAACTATCCATGGTCAAAGCAATATGTTAATTTTTAAGCCTACAGACTCTAAAATCTTGGTCTGCATGGGCCCTGCAACACCAAGCTTAGCAATTGATCATGTGGGTAATTTTAGCGATTGATTACACTGATCACAATGTACAATCAATCGCAAAAATCAATTGCTATTAAAGCTCTAACTGGGGCCCTTTGCCCCTTTAGAAAATCAAGTATAGAGTCTTGGGTTAGGAAAGGGTACATAATGTGATAAAGATATCATCAAATACAATGTTTTAAATAGGTCATCATTACTAGGGCAATCCAACCCTTATTATAAGTTAATTTAATGAAGAAAAAAAAAGATATGAAAAGAAGAATGGTGAAAGTTTGAAATAAATCAGAATAATAAGAAGTTATGAATGTTTGAAATATGAGACCACTAATTCAGCTACCGTATGCGAATCTCAAATTGGCAATTTTGTCAATGGAATGTGAGGCAGTGGCAGATATCGTTCTATTTGTTGTGTACAAAAATATCCTGGAGTCATACATTTTTTTGTGTCGAAATTTTAGTAAGTTTGTGTGTTGGAACCAATGAGAAAGTTGTCCACCACTATCAATTTAGCCAAACCTATGTAACGATTGCTACTTTTTTTTAAATTCAGAACTTTCTCTTTCTTTGGGTCCGATTTCTTTCAAATTTTCACCAGTATGCTTCTCTTATTTTTTTGCTTTCTGCTAGAGTAGTTTACTATCAAGGTTAGGTTCCCCTTTCATGACTGACCCACCCCCCCCCCCCAATGATCCCTTTTAGTCTTATTATATTCTGATCAATAATAAAATAATTGCCCAGGATATCAAGCATATCAAATTTACACTACCACCATAAATTACAAATACTCGGTACAATATTTCATGAGGATAAAGTTTGTTATGCTTTCAAAAACCACCGGCTACATGTGCTTAATTAACTTAGCCTACTGCATGGTAATCAATTCCGAACTCAGTTCTTACGTTTGCAAAAACATAGAAATTTTCTGTTACCAAGGTCAATTATAGTAAAGAAAGAGCAAAAAATAGTAAAAAAAATGGATGGAAAAAAAGAAAGAGGGGAGGGTAGAGACTAGAGAGGGAGGAGTTTGACCTTTCAGCCTTGAAAAGTGGAAGTAAATGTGCTTTCATGCTGCAGGCCAGGGCAAGTACCAGTAAATGTATATACCCCCTATATATGAATATGATGCATGTGAACACCATCATGATACAGACTATTTCCTTTTCCCCTAAATATTTGGGAACTGAAAAGTATCGCAAATGACGAAAGTCTGAGATAGTTTTTAATGGTCATTAATACTGTGGTACAACACAAAACCTTTTGTTATTCCTACTAAAAACAGAGAAAATGGGGATGATTTTTCTTCATATTTCATGGATTTTTTATTCAATTTATTCTCCACCCTATGCAAAATGAATTATTAACTAATTGTGTACTTCCAAGACCATGTGGGAAAGTCAAAGATATTTTCACTACTTCCCTAGCCAGTAAATGAAGCAACATAAAGTGTACTTAATATTTAAGGCCCCTCTTTTTGTGCTAATCTACAGCCAAAGTGAAGACAAATTTTACGAGTTGGCCTAAATATATATATAATTTTTTTAGGGGGATTGGTGGCAGAATTAATTAAATGTATTATACATGTACTCAAGTAGCCGCCTACGAGACGGGTAAACCTGCCAAGGTCAATGTTATGGGCTATCGGTCTAATGAGATGTCCACATGTCTTTTAAAAACAAGATATTTTCTAGAAGATAATTTGTGGCTGCAATCAACCGTTATGCAACGAAATGTAATTGTATAGACAGAATTTACAAAATGCAGTAGTGCCGAAACTGTACAGGGCCGTTTCATAGTACCATAATCAATGTACTCGTAGAAATTCAAATGAATAGATTTCGATATTTTCAAGAGTCAAACCAATTTCAAAACAAAGTGAGAGTTCCTCCCCCCCCCCCCCCCGAAAATAACCCGAACACAAAAGGTATGGCCTTAGTATTGTCTTCACTCGAAAAAGATTCACATGTACATGTATAATGCATGTACGATTCCCAGACATGTTCATAATTTATACAACACAAGTACGGTCAATATTATAGACAAAGACATTAAATCCGATTGCTGGGGGTCACATTGGTAACTGTCACCATACATCTTACCCAAATCAAGAAAGTAACAGATTTATTTATATTTGTTTATTTTGTAGCATTTATACTCCGGGGCTCATAAAGATGTCCCCTTATATCGTTATTACATGCTACAATTATACTCCCAATTCCTATCTCTATTCGTACCTTTTCATTACCTACAGGGCTCATCGTCGTCCCTTTATATGCATAACTATATAAACTAAACTTACATACCGAATAAATAAAATAATAATTTAATTAAGTAAGTAATATAAAAAGAGAACATTATTGAAAGCAATACATGTAATAATTAACAATAAAAAGGCAATAAGATATTCTTTTACGAGCCAGTAGTTATAAAAAAAAAAAATATATAAAAAAATAAAAATTAAAGAGATGGAGGTTCATAATACTTATATAATCACAAATAAAAGCACAAATAAAAGCACAAATATAGCCCCCTTTGCTAAAAAAAAAAAACCACCAGTATTTTTTAAATTAATTTGTATTCTTAGCTCAGGTATGAAGTACTCTATTTACTTAGGGGGGCATATGGGAGGTATACAACAGCGATTATGATTAGATATTTCATGCATTCATGGCTCTCTCCATTAAATTGGCCTTATTAGTGTCAATCATCATAGCTTTATTATCCCTCTATTGGTCACATGACTGTGTCTACTACAGAACAGTATAGACGTTTAACTAGAGTGTATGACAGTGTTTGTGTAACTAAGTAGAAATGCTTTTGTAATGTGGACTTTGTATCATGTGTGAGTCATATCCTCTTTAGCAAGAGGAGTGTATGTTGACATAGGATTGTACAAGTACACACATATCTGAACATCTATATATGTTCATGTATGGTTTCCTACTTATTATGTTATGTAACTGATTTTTTTTTTTTTTTTTTTTTTTTTTAAAGTGGTACTTAAAAAAAAAAAAAGTATTTTCTTCTGTTCCGCTTATTTCTGGCTGAACAATTGACTCATTTTTGTTATATAAATAATTTCTCAAAAAAACAACATGTTGACCTTGACTAGTAATTAATAATCATTTCTCTGAATTGAGGCATAGAGGAACCCTTTGTTCATATATTTGCCGTCTCAAAAACTAGTACCGGTAATCATTTCACTTTACACCTACACCTATGCATGTCAGTCTTATATTTTCTGTATCAATACCTTATGCTGCCTGCGCACTAGACTATCAACTACTAATATGCCCATATTTGGGCATACATCAGGCAGGGATCCCTAGACACGTCATTTATGCACTGCAGCAATGATAGTGGCCTGCATTATGTACTTGTTTACAAAATGTGTGCAAGGTTAAAGATGTTAGTGCTGTCTGCACTCAAATACCAAATTATTATATAAAAATCCTACCTACAGGCATCTTCAAGCAAATCATTTGCATGTAGGTATCTATCATAAGTGAGCCAAAATTGTGTGTGAAGTTGAGAAACTCTTAGTCCATTCTATGTTTATCATTGTCATGACTGTTTGTATTATCATTATTATTATTATTATTACTATCATCATTATTTTTCTTCTCAACCCCTCAAAAATAACAATAATTTGCAATTTCTCAACATGTCTCTATAATCCACAGTTGCTTACTTTATAAAGGCCTACCCGGTAATGATATTTTTTCTTTTATAAACTTTTATTTGACGCAGTAAAATGTTATGAACTAAAGTTTATCAGCTTTTGAATTGTGTCCTCAATTGAAAATGTAGCCTGATCCAATGCAGGGCCGGAAAAAAAAATGTTTCTTGCAGTCTCTAAACCGATTTTGTCATTTAAATTGTATGTTCTTTCAAATTTGACACTCGGTTTTTCATAATCTCACAAAAAAATTGTTTTGAGTAGCGCCCTCTGCAACAGAACTCAACTATCCCTTTAATGAAGTAACACATCATTTCAACAACAAAAAAAAACTTCTTTATCAAAAGAGACAGAGACAGAGAGAGAGAGAGAGGGGGGGGGGGTGCACCAACTAAAAGGGCACTCTCTGAAAAATGGGACACCTACAAAGAGTAATCTATAAAAAATATTTTAAAAAGCCACTATGATTTTTGTCGCTCCAATTTTTTTTTCCATGTTTAGTCTCATAGCAGTGTGTGTTACAGGAGCTCCCTAGCCTAATTATTTATTCATTTATTTGTAATAGACTAAAGAAAATGGTGATGAACATAAAGGTCTTGGCCTTATAAATGCTATAGCCCTCTAACTCCCAATATATTCATTTATTTAGAATAAAGGCTTGTTCAGGTCTGCTGAAAAAAGCCTTCATTTTTTTTTTTAACGTGTTGAATTAATTGAAATGAGATCAAAAGTGCTTTTAAAGGTAGTCTGTCCCTTTTTCAGGCTGAAAATATAAATTATGTAAATCCTAAGGTAAACAAGAGATAAAACCAACTAAAAACTCTTCTTAAAAGATTAGAACTTGTAATTGTCTGTACCGTACATGGAATTCTATTAGGAATTTTCGAAATGTGTTGCAAAAAAATAGGCCTAGAAGGTAGTCTGATTGTCAGACCCTTGTACTGCATAGTTGTGCGTTATGTGTAGACTGAGTAAAGACTTGATAAGTTTAATTTTGGTCATTAAAAGAGGAGGGTCATTGATGTGCACAAATGATAATGTACCCTTTACAGCTAACTTTATCTATTAAAAAAAAGGTCAGTCACTGACTCGAAAGTGTCTGACAGTAAAATCTAGAGAATAAATGGTATCCCTTGCATAACTAGGTCACTGCTACATTTGTAACTTTTAAATTTCACAGATAGGATATACAGTTTGTACGTGACATACTCATGATTCCTGCAAAGTACTAAAGAATTTAAATTTGGCTGCAAAAGGGATACACTACCTTTAAGGGGACACAGAAAGAGAGCAAGATGACAGTTTGAGATCAGAAATACTAATGCAGGTCTATATTTTTTACAGTAGGCCTATTGTTTGTTTTTTTCCTCCTCCGATTTTTATACTGAAATCTGTAAATGATTGTAAAAGGCTCTAGACATTTTATACCAACTTCCACACAAGTGGGCCTAGAAAGCACAAGCAAGACATGAAATGCAAAAAAAAATAAAAATAAAAATGGAAGCATGTTAATGCAATCTTTACATAATCTCAATCAGCGTTGACAAAAGGAAGGGGAGGGGGCAATGCAACCCTGTCTCAATTAAAACTGGAAACATGATCCTTGTTTTACGATTTTCCTCTAAGCACCCGTGCTGTAGATTATGAGAGTTTTTTTTATAATGAACTTCTTTTAAAAAGTCATCTTGATATTCAAGTCTACATACTTAGATTTTAATTTAAGGTACTTACTTATCTATATTTTTCTTTACTTAAAAAAAAAAAAAAAAAAAAAAGATTCAGTGACTTTTATTCATGTGGTCGAATTCATACTCGGATATCATCATTTTAGTAAACAATATATCGTTGGTGGGGGTGACAAAACCTCGTATCTCAAAAATCATGAATTTTCAGGAGAGCGCAAAAACCTTTCCGGTCTTAACAGATTTAGTGCTGTGACACCGTCCTTCGTTTGGAATTTGTGAAAAAACCGAGACAGGAGGCGTTCCATAGATTTATCAGGTGGTGTCGTAGGCCATTAGGTACAAAATTATGCAAAAAAATCAAAATCTCAAAAAATTGAGATACGAGGTTTTGTCACCCCACCGACGATATCTTACTTGATCTTTTCACTTAGCCCATGCAATTTATCATAATTAGCACTTATAAAGACTGTAAGAAGTATCAGTATTGTAAAGGTTGCAGTAAATGAAAATAATAATAATAATAATGTACTTGTCACACATATTTAAAAAAAAAAAAAAAAAAAAAAGGATTTGTATCTAATTTGAAACCCATTTCTTGTCTATTCATGGACTGAATAGTAAGAAAGGGTAATTTCTTCTCAACTCGCATTTATGGGGGAAATGTGAGGCGAAGAGAAATTAAATGCTTGTAAATTTATTCACCTCTATATACATGTAATTGCATATTTATCATAACCTTAGCACATATATGTTTTGCTGAAATATTGGGAATTTTAAAAATTCCCATGAACTTTGGATAAATTTACCATTGTGAAATGATAGTATATATTCTAATATAGAATATATTTGGAGCTTGATCTGTGTCAACTGGGATCTTGTAAAGGGATTGGTGGTAAGTACTAAACGCTTTATGCTACCTGTAATGGAAGAAAGAGAACAAAGAGAGAAAACAAAATAGGATTAGTCAATTATGAATGGTATATAATAAATACATTGGCAAATACAGAGGGGCCTTTTCATGAGTTTACAAATTTTGAGGCCAATCCAACATTTGTGTTGTATGAATGCAGAAAAATTAGAGAAAAAGGTTGAAGGTATGTTAGGAATAGTTACATTTTCATCAAAGAAAAAATTAATAGAGAGAATATACAAAATCTTTTAAATCATACACGTTTAAATTAAAAACTCCCAACCAAAACGTGTTATGAATTATCTCTGAAAAACACAAAATATTCTTGCAGCAACATCAATTTCTGTTATGCCTGTATTAACTTTTTTTTGGTTGAAATAAACAAAAACATCTTCAATACTTAATCATCCATTCAGAGACAGAACACAATTTACACTTGTTACAAGAGCTTTGTCATACATGTCTACTTAAAGGTACCTTTTAATTATTTAGGAGGCTATGTCAAACATCAATATCACAATATTAAGTGGTAGGTTAAAGCCTTGTCAAAATGAATTTGTGAATGTTATCCTTTTTTCACCAGTGTTTGACTGTTTGTACATCCACTAAAACAGAGAAATAGAAAAGCAGTATTTTCTTTTCAACACCATAAAGTAACAGTAATCTTTTCTCAAACATTGTGCAACATGCTTTTAAGCAGTTAATATAAATCTGTAAAATGAGTCAACATCCTAATGGCTTTAAACCGACATTCAATCGTTGGTCTTACAAGATCCATTTTCAAGTTAAATGGCATATAGAGAAAATATGATTACTCTACATAACTTTGTTCAACAACTATTGCGTGGAAGACATTTCAAATATCTTTTTAATTTTCTCAAAGGAAATCTACATGTAGATTTGTCTTCTTTCCTCTAAGAAGATACTTGTGAGCTTTCCAAAGGTATAGCACTCTCCATCTCATGTATTTATGTTCACTTTACGACCTGTATTTCTTTCTTTCTTGTAGGGAGAGAATTGTTATGACAAAAATTTGCAACTGATTCATACATATATTAAATTGTGCTTAAAAAGTATCAAACATTCACATGATCAATGATTTACAAGACTTCTTTCCTCATCATTGCTCATTGACTTGCAACTCATAACACACCTATTTTAACTACCTTGGAACCATGTCATACAAAATATTGTCAGAACAAACTCTCATTATAGAGTTATTTGGCAGATCTAACTTCTTTGCATGACATTGTTTTGGAGCCTCGACATATAACAAGATTGCTAATTTTTATGAAGAAAAAAAAATGTCATAATGTCATACTCATCTTATCTGACTTTATATCCATTTAACAAGAAACTGAAATCATGTAGAATTTTCATTAATGTTTAATGGGCCACGGCAAGGCCATACATGTTGCACAAGCAATACCATTTTCATAAGGTAATCAAATTTTAATGCACAAATCTTTGTTGAGCACCTCATTACAAATCATTTTATGATCTGTTACGAACAATTGTATTTCAATAGTCAAAATGCAAATTACTTATACATTAATTTTTGCTAGGTAGGGCAAGCCCTAATGTTTGTCCTACCTAACGACAAGAAATGTATGCAATTCAACTGTTGAAAATTTGAAATGCAATTATTTGTAAACAAGTGAATAAAATAATTTGTATCATAGTGCTCCACAAAAGCTATCATGTACAGTGTACATACATTTGGTTACATCACAAAAATGGCGTATTTGTCCATGACATCAAAGATTTGAGCACAATCTGATTTATTGATAGACCTTATAGGGCTCGATATCAAATCAAATGTCAAGGCAAACGATACTTTTGATGCCAAGTTAATTTTCAATTGTACAGTGGAACCATGTTGTAAAGCGCATTTAAAAGAAACTCTTAGTGAAGAAAAATCAAACCTCTGTAATATCAAAGCTCATTTATATGAAAGCAGAAAAACAAGAGAAACAGATTGGCCAAAGTTTGAAATAAATCAGACCAATAATAAGAAATGTTCGAATTGAGATCACTTAATCTTTGTGTATCAGAACTTCGCAATTTTGTCAGTGGATCATGCCATAATCATGGACAACTCTCTCATTTGTCATGTGCAAAAATGTGATTAATTCTGACCGTCTTTCTCCTAATCGCCTACTCTGTGGGGGGCACTACTCACAATATATTATGGATAGCATATCATTATAGGACCTCTTCAAAGGAAAGACTTGCCCAAGTCATCCCTTTTATAATCTCATCTCATGTATTAGAACAAAAGGGGAAGTTGTCTGGCACTATGTTACAGTACCAATAAAGATACAGCCAATTTCTTTAAAAAAAACCTTTTTGTATAGTGATTACAACTTAAATTTTTTAAAATAATTTTCTTAATAATTTCTGTCTGTTTTCAATTTCATTCAAATTTTCACTTTCTTTTAGATTTGCTGTTTAAGGTGGGCTTTCCTATGGAAAAACATTAAGAAATGTTCACGTCATATCCCCTCATTCACTATTGCTTTTGATTATCTAGTCCGATTTGCATGAAAACATGACACACTCATAGCTAATTCACTCAAGATTTAAATAAAATCAAGAACTCAAGCACAATTTTAAAAGTTTTTGTAAACACAAGCTGAAAATTGTATGTATGATTCTCAAAGCTGTACCGGTACATGTAAATAGAAATTCAAGATTAAAAGAGGAAAAAGCACCTTGATTTAAAGAAAGGAGTGGATTGATTAAGATAAATGGATAAATGGATGAGTGAATTAGTGAAAGTTTGGTGCAAACCAGTGGTATAATGTTCCTATGAGCAACCTCCTTTGTATGCATACCAAGGGGGAATAAACAAGAGCTAATTGAATGCCCTCAGCTGACAATTATGCCTCTGTATTTTGACCTAAAAACCCCAAAATCTAATCAGAATATCAGATCGTCTCCATGGTATTCATGTACACCCATTAAGTGACCATATCCAGAGGTTTGAGGCTCATACCTCTAATGGCTCTTGAGATATTGCGATAACAAAGCTAAAATCCTGTACTTTTCATAAATTGAACACTGACATATCTAATACAAATACAATGTATTATCACCAAGTTTGAACTTTGAAGGTCATACTAGTACCCCAAGTGGTTCTGGAAATCTTGTTATAACTCCTCTGAAGTGTTGGGAGCCCCAAATTGGCCAAAAAAATTGATGGCAGAATTTCACTTAAATTGTATTATTTGAAAGAGGATGCCATTTAATTAAGACACACTTTTGCAAAGAGCCCCCCCCCCAAAAAAAAAAGTGTTCAAAGACACATTTGTCAGAGGGTAATACGGTAGAACAATTCTGAGGGGGATGGGGGTGGAGGTGAAATGGAAAAGTTAACAATTAGTGAAAGTGATCTTACATGTACATGTAGCTGGGCTATTATGCATCAATTGACACTAATGACAGTAACAGTTTAAAATACGGCTGCAAGAATTTCCACACAAGAGTTCAATTGTGACAAAGAAAATCAGGAAAAAAGACTGTTAACCGGTCATTCAGTCAATCTGGTAAGTGGAACTGATTATTAGGCCTAAAAAAAGATGTTGAATTGCCCTTTAGGTGCCAAAACATGGGTCAGTCGGTCAGATTTTTTTTTTTTTTAACTTTATTTTTTTCTTTTCCCCTCCCTCTTTGGGTTGATATTACTCAGTTTTGAATGCTTTATAATACATATTTTTTTTATGCATTAAACATTTTTTTTTCTTCTGAAAAACGGTTAAAAAAAAATATATTAAAAAAAAGCAGACCATAGATTTCAAGATTTTTGGGTCGGTCGCAAAGGGCAATACAATTTACAACATTTTCAGGCCTTAGCCTAGGCCTAATCTTAGAGAGTAAATGCAATCTGCTAAAAGTAAAATGACATTTTAGTCCAAACTTGATAGCACATTTGGTGGCACGATTGTGTCCCCAAACCTTCGACAGCAGACCCTATGGCCGGCTTCTGTCTAAAGAGAGGAGCCAAACCTACCCAAATAAGAGGCTAACAAACGAAAGAGACAGAAATTTACTGTCTACCAGCTTACCCTGCTTTCCCAATATTCAATAACAAGTTACACGGCCCAGCATTGATATTAATTGAAATGTCCGATCATAAATTAAATTGAAACACTGCACTGGCACTGCACTGCTCCTAACATAATTTTACAAGACTCACACATGCACACAAATCGCAATGCAATGGACAAGGCAACTCAACTCAGCTCACTCTCACTCTCACTCTCAGATTTAAAAAAAAAAAAAAAAAAAAAAAAAAAAAATCTTCAAAGTTCAACTTCTGCCGTTCTCATCTGGACAAGTCAAGTGCTGTAAATTTTAATTTTTATCTTGCTTTGCCATTGTCATTTTTTCAAATGTTGTTTTACATTGACATTATCTAAAAAATTGTCTTTTGAATCTCACTAAATTCCTGATTCCACTAAACATAGTGCCTTGATTTTCATTTTCCGGGCGAGGGAAAGTCCCGTCATCGTCAACTCGATCCAGGCCAGCGCCATTTCAGCTCCACAGGCAGCAGCTCGAAATAGCATGCACAGCTAGCTCAGCTCACGAGCTAAACTTCCGCGCGCCAACTTCACTCATTAGCATATCCAGGCAGCTGATTTGCATACACCAATATGGAACGGAAAACATGGCGCTTGCTGCATTTACGTCGACTAAAAATAAAGTTGTCTCGCTTTCCTCCAGGAATTACACCAACGTAGTCCTGAAGGCTATCCATGATCCACATCTTCTTGGTCAGGAATAATGCGCTAACACACTGATAGAGTCACACACAAGACAAATCAATCCACTTTAGCGTAATATTAGGTGAAAAATGATGTTGTAAACCAGCACGTTGAGAAATTCTTATGCATGTAGGCCTACGTCCCTGTGAAGAGAAACATGGCTGTCATGATAGATTTGCTCACGTTTTAACAACTTACACTTTATTATCACCCTCTTTCAGAAAACCTCGGGCCATCTCTCCGCGTTCATAACAGACTTATATATCTGGGTACAGCTCCTGAATCTGCTTTCCTAGCCATATCTTCTATAAAATGCTAAATTTACCCGATGGTTTGATCCCACCCAGTTCCCTTCCGTTTGGATTATGAGAGGTGCGTGGTTCTTCCAAATGTCTCTATTTCGCACCGTACTTTCGGTGATTTTCCCCCTATTATATCAAAATAGAACCCAGAAAATGGTGAAATATTAATTCATAACAGTCCCAAATAGAAAGCTAATTCATTAGTTAAGTCTCAAAACCAGAAATGGGAGAATATAAGTAAATTATAACTAATTCTATGTCGACGTGGTTTGTTCTGGCAGATGATTCCGTCCTAAAATGGCAATCGGAAGCACGCCCTATTGATCTGCGCATGCGTTCGATTGTTACGTGCTTGTGACGTATTACCTTCCAAATTATTCTTTTTTAATAATCAGATTTCATCTTGAAAATTCTAATTTTTATTGAAAAATACCAAATTATATTCAATTATACTTTAAATATTATTTTTAAATCAAAATATTATTTGATAGAATATATTGATAGGTATTTTTATAATTTTATTTTGATATTAATCATCAAACAAGATGGCAGCTTCCATTCGTGCAAATTACTTTTTTCGTGCGATAGGAAATACAGTTCTACGAAGGAATCCGCCATTTATTTCCAGAGGAATTCCATTTCTATACAGATCAGAAAAAGCTTCACTAAAAAATGTAAGTGATGATGCGTGGATATTATTCGATCCTTTATTTTCCTGGGTATTATTGGAGACAAATTTGAGAGCAATGGACCCACATGTTCAAATTCAAGTTAGTGGGTCTAGGCTAGACCAAAGCTAGTAAAAACTTCATAAGTTCAGGCGCGGACGCAGCGCTATTATAAATTCTACTGAAAACAATAATTAACTCTGTAATCATATTGAAAAGGCATGCCAAAGTACATACATGTATGACCATCTATTATTATTGGGAGATTTCAACTGCAACTGGGAGACATTAACTTTGCGACTATTTTACAGCTGAAGTCAAGACTCGGAGTTGGAGAGAGTAAGATTGGCGCTTGTTCAGAAACCTATCCACAATTTGACCCGTAACTTCGGCGTGGAGATACCCTAATAAAACATACCCAAAATGAAGTAAATATTTTTTAGATGTCCAAATAAAGATCATGAGTTAAAAGTCATTATGTTTATTACCTGTTTCGTGTCAATTTTCTTGTTATTTTCTTGTTATTTTTGGGATAAACGTTGATATTAGTACTACTACTGGTACACACTTTTTCACAGGTTTCACGGCAAACCACTGCACAATACAAGTACATACCGATGGTGGGTTGTGGGCAGGCGCGCGCCTGTGTGAAGTTATCTACCGTAATGTCTCGGATCCTCATTACGGTAGATAACTTCACTGCTGCTGAAGAGAGAGAGAAAGAGAGAGATCCATATTCATATTGTCATATTCTACACAAATTTATTTAGTTCACCTATTGGCTATTTATTACCAAGTGGACGGCAAAGTTTTTGACTACAATTGGTGCAACTTGAAAATTGATCGTCAAATAACTCTAGAGATATTGCGATCTGTAAATAAAACTACAAATGTGTTAAGTTATCACCAATTCCTGCACATAACAAACCTTATGGACTCTTCTTTCTTCTCATGCAAAGCACTTTGAAATCTGTCAAGAATTTAACCAATACCGGTAATGTGGAAATTTAATAGTTACCAGAGTGATACACTTTCTTGCTGTATTACCTTCCACATGTCCCTGATAATAATGAGCTAACGTGCGATTTACATTTGAAATCTCTCTCTCTCTCTCGCACCCACACACACACACACTCTCTCTCTCTCTCTCTCTATCTCTATCTCTCTCTATATATGCCAGTGACACAGTTGTGTATTGTATACTACATTGTGTCATGGACCTGGGTTCAAAAGTGTATACTTCTTTGTGTATAATGCTGAATAAAGATGATACATATATATATCTCTCTCTCACTCTCTCTCTCTCTCTCTCTCTCTCTATATATATATATATATATCTCTTTCTCTTTGCCAGATCACAAGTGACATTGGGAGGCAGACAATCACAACCTCAGTCATAAGATGGGATGAGATCAATGAAGAATCTGAATCCAACGAACAGCATCCACAGCGGCAGGAGCTCACAGAAGCAGAACTTCTTCAAGCAATTGAATACTTGAACAGTGAAGGTACATAGATGCTGTTACTTACTTGAATCTGGATGTATGGGATCGCTAGACAATAATTTGGTAGTAGAACAAGTTAAACATTGACTTTCAATCCGTCATAAATAATCTATCACCTCTCTTAACTTGATGTAATTGTATTCTACCATGCTTGTTTATCTACCTGTATTATAAATTAATTATAAGTTACTGTTTATTGTATAGAATGTGAAGTTAGACTTGATTGAAGGAGATAATAAAGTCGAGGGAGATACAACCAATTATAATTCTTGGCCTACACTCTCCTAGAATTTAAACCACTTTGCTGGGTTTAGGCTTCTTTTTTTAAAAATATCTGGCTCCTGTTTCATAAAACTTGTTATCATAAAAATTAGCAATAACTGTACTAAGTTACTGAAATCATGGCATTTGATTGGCTGAGAGCATGAGAAGTTTAGCACTTGTTATTGATTAGAAGTTCAATGAAACAGGGCCCATGTTTAAAGGTAATGCAAAGTTTGAGAATTTTGAAAATGTGATGGATAGTAATTCTTTAAAATTTTGATATATTTGGATGCCCTGTGGATGTATAATAAGCACTATAAAGCACCCATAAAACACTTCTGCTTTTGGGAAATTGAATAATAATTTTTTTACCGGTGCTTCCGGTAAATTTCAAAAATTTTATATAGCGCCTAAGGCCATTCCATGGTATATCATTTCCAAACGGGAATAGCAGATTGGTCGATTGTAGTCAAGAAACATTGTTTTAAAGCTAAAGTTGTATCAGTCTTGAGAGGGAGCTATGCAAGATAAAGAGTTTATTATTAACAATGTCATCACTTTAGACTCGATTTCAACCACGACAACAATCATTTAATATTGTAAAATCGCATATACTTCCAGTATGTTCATTTTAACCAAACTCATGACCCCATACTAAAACTTTGTATTACCTTTAAAAAAAGAAACATACCGGTAGTTTGAGGTCTTCTTTTGTTATGTGTTATTTTATATCCAGGGTTAGGTGCATTTTTAGAATATGGGCCTTTTATGTTACAGGGCCCAGATTCGATAAACTATTCTTTTTCTTTTTTTTCTCATTTATTTTCCTGTTCCTTTCCAGAGTTCATAAAGAGGTATGGAGATAAGCCAATTTGGGCCAATTATAAAAGGAATCATAAAGGCAGGATACCTCCAAAGGTAAATAATTTTATCCTAATGTTCTATGATACCTTACTTCATAGAGTGGTGAAGTGTGACGTCATCAAAAATCTATTTTTAGAATTTCTCATTTTTTTCTTCATATTCCGAAAGAACATCAAAAATAATGTCCAAATGTCGAAAACCAATTGAATATGTTAAGTATTGGCTGAGATATGACCATCTGAATGAATATATGTCCTATGGGAACTCAGTGTTATATGCTCTGGCTCCTAAACATTATTTTTTATTTTCTTTCGGAAAATGAAGAAAAAATTGAGAAATTCTAAAAGTAGATTTTTCACAGCTTCGGTACTCTATAGGATCAAGTACATTCTTCATAAGGCCTAAAAAAAAAGATGTTGTATTGCCCTTTAGGTGCCAAAACATGGGTCGGTCAGAAATATATTTTTTTAATAACTTTTTTGTTGTTGTTGGTCTCCCTCTTTGGGCTGTTTTTTTTCTTCAGTTTTTAATGCATTTAATACATTTTTATCTAAAAAAGAGTAAAAAAAAAAAGAACTTTTTTAAAAAGCTGACAGTAGATTTCAAGATTTTGTGGTCGGTAGCAAAGAGGAATGCAACATCTTTTTTTTTTTAGGCCTAACAAAGAAATTCAATACAGTCTGAATTTGTAGGCAGCTGCATTGATTAATCTCAATTTTATGCTATACAGTCAAACCTTCTTTAGTGACCACCCGTCTACAAAACCCACATTTTTTGTTTCCCTTGAAAAGGGTTTCTCTTTGAAACATGCACTAAAGGAACCCGTCTACAAAAAACACTTTTTGTGTTTCCCTTGGGTGGACGCTATAGACAGGTTTGACTGTAGTATATATATTATCATGTATACATGCAGGCACGGGACATTTTTGGTTGGGGAAACAGATGGATTTAATTTTTTTCTTCTTTGTATAGCATGTATCCACTTCTTGTCTTGAGTATGCTAATAATGATAGTGTGCAGGGGGCTGTTTCTTAAAACGCTCATAAGTCTAAGTTCATGGACATCACATAGAACGTGTATTAATCCTATAACACACTTTTCAATAGAATGTCCAAGAAGTTAAAGGTAAAGACCAGTTATGGTCATGCGATTGCATTGTGAAAGAAACGTTGTGGAATCGATCAGAAAAGGTTGATCATCTAGCATCTAGCATCTGCAAGGTTCTGGAATCATCAAAATGATAAGAAATTTGGCCCATTCTTCGTAAAGTTACAAGCACTATACACAGAAAGATGTATATGGGACTACCCTATATCTCTCACAGACCATGAGAGAAACAAATTTACCAAATATATGAATTAGTAGGCGGTTTCCCGGCAATTTTTTTATCATCATGTATTAGTCAAAACATATTCTTTCACATGATTGGTAATGAGAGCTTCCATTTCATTTTTTGAAATTGGGGCATTTCCAATACTGGTCTTTACCTTTAACTTATGACGGTTTCGAGAAACAGCCCCCAGTACTCCATGAAGATAATGGTTGAAAAGCCAGGAATTTATAAATAATATATCTGTGGAGGAGGGGGGGGGGGGGCTGGTAGAGATATGCAACTTTTTAATCTTTCTGTTTCTGCCACTACCTACATGTAATTGTGTTCACTGTGTCTTTTGTAATTACAGGAAACAAGGAAGAGGTGCATTGTAAGTATTCATGTTTCCTTAAAACTTTTACCTTGTTTAATGCATCTATTGATATAACACAATTACATGCATATTGCATGATCTATGTAGTTACAAGAAGTTCATTATCTGACTTCACTAAACCCTGATTAAGTTTGGAAACGAGATACAGAGTTGGGATAGTTGACATTTTAGGTAGAATGCTATTAGTGAAGACGGAATTGACTTCGCTTCAGTTGAGCTGATATCCTTACATTGAAATGAGATAACATGTATATTGGAACTTTCTTATGTTTTAACACAATGGAATGAAGCTCTCCTGATTTGATCAATTTAAATTTATTAAAACATATCCATGTGTTTGAAAGGAGACATACTCACTATAGGAATGGTAGGAATTTTTAATGAACTTGTTGGTCCCATCAACATGACAAGAAATGCATCCTAAATGGCTTATCCTCCCTCTTTCTGTTACTTGCATACTGCCATCTGTAGTTGTGTTTTTGCCAATCTGCATAAAGTGAGGGGTGGTATTATCCATTTTCTAATGTGGAGAGAGAGAGGGAGGTATAGATATACATGTAGGAAGGAGGAAAGATTTGGGCGTTAGATGGAGAGAGATAAGATTAGTAAGGAGAAAAAATATCAGGATGGTAGCACACTGCTTACTATAAACTTTGACAAGAATGTTTACTTCCTGACCTTAACTTTTGTGGTAAAACAAAAAAGTTTAAATTTCAAATTAACTTTAAAATCGACAAATGATTAAATCTGAACTGACAAGAAAGGTTTGGTGATGTTTGAAATCTGTAGAATATTTGCACATGTTATATGTTGTGAAGTTACGTATTCTGTAGGTAAACTGCAAATCTAGGGGTCAGTGACATAAAGACGTAACTCCATTTGGGCCATTTTGAGAAAAAGTGATTTGTGTCACTGAGCACCTGGGCCTCAAGGAGTTAAGTCTATGTTTCACTAGCCATCGACTTCAATCAAGTGTTGGTGGAGTTAAGTCTTTGTGTTTCCTGGAAAGCCCACATTTTTCTGAACATTTTGATATCAAATACTCATTTGGGCAAAATATGGAGTTACGTCTTTGTGTCGCTGACCCTCAAAATGTACAATTTGCCTTTGAATGTTGCTTCCTCTGTTTAACTTTTTCAGAGAGGTAATGGAGAGAAGCAGCAAATTTGTGGTAACCCATGTCCAATCTGCAGAGATTCTAATCTAGTCCTTCATTACAAGGTAAGTAGCCTCCAATGACGGCCATGGATGTCTAAAGTATGGATAGTGTAGACCTCAATATCTCCGCCATTTTGTTGTTGACATTTGAACTAGCAGTGATAATAGTATGATTGTAGGGCCCTAAAGGAGAACAGTAATAATACCGATGAGGCTACCCTGGGTAAACATATATGTTACATATTATATCTTGTTTTCTGAACACGTTGACCTCTTACAAGGTTTGTTTCCTTTATGGCTCCTGTCTTCCTCACTTTTTATAATTCATCTTATGTATTTTTATACATTTGTCCGTTTATATATGTAATTTTATCTGTTGATCTCTTGAGGAGAAATAAATGAAACTGAATCAAAAACTGATATAAACAAGGCATATTAGTATTATAATTAGAAAACACAACTCGTGAAAAGACATGAATATTCAATGTTCTTCAGATGCTGCTGTTGGTTATGCAATAATTTATGTAGCAAAAATATGCTTATCCATTTTAATCCTGCAACTTCGGAAGATGCCTTTAAATGCTCACATGCAGGTATCCATACATGTTTTTATATTCCTTGTTGTGTAAGGCAGGGCCTAATGTGATGTGATATCAAATATTTTTTTCATATTGCCAAGTTTTATTCATGTTTTGTCTGTTTCTGCTGATCAGAATATAAAGCTGTTGGAACAATTCATCTGTCCGCATTCATGGAATATCTACTCAACGTACAGGACAGGTTAGTTTTCAATATCTTAGTCCCATCAACTTAATTTTCTGTAAGTGCATGATATTTATTCAGCAAATACAAGAAATGGTTAGTGTGCAAAATTGGGGCAGAAAATTGTCAGGTATTAATTCTTTTCCAATCCATTTAATGTAATATATCAATGGGAAATGATTATTCTCAAACTTCTTTATTGTGAAGAATAGATCAAGTGCCTAAAAGAGAGAACTTTATTCAAATTTTCAGTCTATGTATATGTCTAAATATTGCCAATGCTACAACAGGCTCTTAAGTTTGATCTATCCCTTGAAAATTGCAGAATTGAACATTAAACTTAATTATGGGAGAAAAGAGTCCAATATCAGTACTGTAATAATGATGAGAGAGAGAAAAGAAAGAAAGAGGGGGAGGGATGAAGAAAGAAGAAGAAAAGGGAAAACAAGCATCTGAAGAGAGAATCCCTCTCCACCCCCCCCCCCCCCAATGAATTAATAAAAAATAACAAACAATATAGATGAATAGAACTGGATGATGAGAGTGAAATATAAACATGAAATATATGGCAACCAAAATAGGACTATTATAGGCAAACAAATATTCTCTGTGTAAAGCAATGACATGGTTAGCCTTCCATACAACCATGTCCATGGGTCACTTTTATTACATGTTATGGAGTGACCACGTAATAAATTCATTTAACGGTCTGTCATGGACTGATATGTTATTCTTTCTGTGGCGTTTATGGTGTCACCACCCAAATAAATCTTCTTGCACATATTTTCATCTTTGCATGCCTCTACACAATGTGGAGGCCAAGTTTTATTGAGCTAGGAGACCCCAGGATTAAATACACTGCTTGGGAGTCTACTTCCAACAAATTTAAACTTCACAAGCCTAAAAAAAGTGTGATTATGTACTTATTAATTTATACTCGGTACTTATAATCTTTGTACATTTAAAGGCTGAAAGTCATCAGTTTGATGAGTGGTCAGTGAATTGTCCTAGAAAGTGAGAAGATGAGCAGAAATATATATATTCAAGGCTCTTTGTAAAACAAATATTTTTTTTAATCTGTTTTTGTGTTCAAACATGGACATTAACATATTACATGAAGTAGATTTTCTTAATCTTGGGATGGATTGGGTGACTTGAGTTATTATTTCGATCTTGTTTTGTAGTAAAATCTGGTAAATTTCTGTCCAGTGCTTATTAATTTGTTTAGAATAAAATCATATTTTCCATATCAATGTTCAGACTCATTTTGATTTTAAAGGTATTCCCCTTTTATAGGTTGTGAATGACTGATACTCAGGCTAAAATCAGACACTCACCAAAAATATTTGACAAGATAAACCCAGAACCATTATCATCAGGAGGAATGTAAGATAAATGTAAAATGCTACAATAGAATTAGCACATTGTGTAAAAGAAGAAGCACTTTATGATTCATCTCATTCTAGTTATTTTGCTCTTCTTTGTTCTGTGACTAGGGTTATGTCGGAGGCAACACAAGGCTCTGTGTGCAACCATTGAGAAGGCAAGGCAATATGGTAAGTATAATTAATTGGATATATAAAATGGTGCTTTTGTTAGAGAGCATCCTATTGGCTGAGAATCTCTCGTGTAAAAGTCTGAATATCTACTGTCAGTGTTTTTTTTCCTTTTTTTTCAACGAAGTCTTCCAGATCACAAAACATTTTCCTTGAATGCTAATTTTTTGGTATTTATAGTTTAAAGTATATCTTGTAATTTTGTAGCCAAACCGTAGATACAAAATCATTAGTTTAATTACCAGTCCCACTTGTGTGGAAAAGTATTTGTTTTGTTCAGGGTATGTTCTTTCAGCTAGGTTCAAAGTTTTGCGTGAGAATATAATTATATCATAATTAATTTTGTTACCATTATTAAAGGTAAAGACCAGTTTTGGAAACCCCCCCCCCCCTCTCAAAAAAATGAAATGGAAGCTCTTATTACCAATCATGTGAAAGAATATGTTTTGACTAATACGTAATGATACAAATTTTGCCGAGAAACCGCCTACTAATTGATATATTTGGTAAAATGTTATATCTATTTGGACCTGATAGATATCATGCATGTGTCGCGCATAGTCCCATATACATCTTTCTGTGTACAGTGCTTGTAACTTTACCAAAACTGGGCCAAATTTCTTATGATTTTGATGACTCCAGAACCTTGCAGTACACACCACTACTTATATGCTAGATGATCAACCTTTTTCTGATCGATTCCACAACGTTTCTTTCACAATGCAATTGCATGACCATAACTGGTCTTTATCTTTAAGAGCTGGTTGGATTAATGTGTGCTTTCATTTGTCTTCCTTTCTCTAGGAGTGTTACCCTTTTCTGTACCCTACATTGAATACAAATATGAGGATTACTATCAAGATGAAACTTCACCAAAGGATAAAAAGAGATCAGTCGACATTTGACCTTTGACCTCCAGCAGCATGATCCTAAGATGCTTTGAACTCTGACCCTGTGTAGCTTCATCGTATGCAAAATGTTGTTTCATCAAGCCTTTATTTCAAAAGAACTTGTAATACAACTTTAGTAATAAACTAATAGTATTGATTATACTAATAATTATTGCAGTTACGGTATATTTGTGCACATATCCATCCCAGGGGATTCTCATTGCGCCCTGAAAGTAGTTGTACAGTCAAACCTGCTTTAGTGGCCACCTGTCTACAACAACCACATTTTTTGTTACCCTTGAAAATGGTTTCTCATTGAAACATGTACTAAAGAAACCTGTCTACAAAGACCACTTTTTTGTGTTTCCCTAGGGCGGTCGCTATAGACAGGTTTGACTGTATTACCCTGGCTTTTGCCCAGCTGCCCTGATGCACTGAAATCATTCCAGGAATGAATTCCTACCCAGTCCCCTTTACTGCACCTGGGCGGAGAGTGGCAAATGTGGAGTTAAACCTTGGCCAAGGATATTAGTGCCACGGCGAGACAGGAAGCACACGATCCACAGTCTAGTGACGCATTCACTAGACCATGATAGCTCTACAGCAGGGTTGAATCGGATTGATACATTTTTGGATTCCTTGGATAACTAGCAAACATGTACTTGACAGGTGGGAGGAAGCTCAGAGAGAAGTCAGTTTCCAAGAAAGATGCAAGGAATCAGCTAATGATATACGTTGAACGGTCGTCATGGAGAAGACTTCAATTGTCCATAAAGCAAGTTGATAGTTACACAAGCGTGCATGAGCAGGTTGTAACAGGGAAAGGCTATACATTATCATCATTAATACGTCTTTAAATTGGCAATGCAGTACAAAATTTGTAGTTTTATTTAATCCTGTAATTCTCATTCACATCGGTTAATTCAATAAAAATTTGCATTTGTCGTAACCATATATGAGTGAAAAATGAATATAATCGGTGCCAATTTGAACAGGTAAAGCTGGTTTATTTTCACTTTATGAAAACACTAAATTGATACAGGTTAAACAAAACAATTGACATTTACATTGTCATTATCCTTTAAATTTGGTGTGCTCAAAGCTCACCTTGAAAAAATTATCACAAATATCATAATTTTAGCTGTAGTTTTTAACACATGGGAAAAAATATACCATGGCCTTGCCCATCTTTGAACTAATCATTTATTCTAAATTAATACCAAAGTTAAAATCTGCTGATACAATTACTGGATAGGTTCTCATGAAATTAGATTATCATTATTCAGCATATGTGTTCTGTGATGGTGCTTTCCATGATATACAGATGGCAGTATTCTTTTCAAAAGGGAAAACAAAAGGTATTCTGGGAGAACCATCACTTTGGCAATAATTATTCTCAAAAGCAGAGAGTGGCATCTCTCCATTGTTATATGCATCATCTGCTAATATGAAATCGTCTAATGTTGGCACAAGGAAGAATAAACTTTGAGAATGCTTCATTTGCCCAATTACATAAAATTAAGTTGAATACTCAGTAAATCATTATTCTGTCGTGGGTTTTCATTTCATTAATTTAGAAATTGTTAGAAAGGGAAAGAGATGAACAGAATGACAGATAGATTTATAAGATGATAGAGAGATGAACAGAACGATAGTTGTATAAGATGATAGAGAGATGAACAGAATGACAGATAGTTGTATAGGATGAAAGAGAGATGAACAGAACGACAGATAATTTTATAAGATGATAGAGAGATGAACAGAACGACAGATAGTTTTATAAGATGATAGAGAGATGAACATAATGACAGATAGTTTTATAAGATAATAGAGAGATGAACAGAATGACAGATAGTTTTATAAGATGATAGAGAGATGAAGAGAACGACAGATAGTTGTATAAGATGATAGAGAGATGAACAACATGATAGATAGTTTTATAAGATGATAGAGAGATGAAGAGAACGACAGATAGTTGTATAAGATGATAGAAAGACGAACAGAACGATAGATAGTTGTATAAGATGATAGAAAGACGAACAGAATGATAGATAGTTGTATAAGATGATAGAAAGACGAACAGAACGATAGATAGTTGTATAAGATGATAGAAAGATGAACAGAACGATAGTTGTATAAGATGATACAGAGATGAACAGAACGATAGTTGTATAAGATGATAGAGAGATGAACAGAATGACAGATAGATTTATAAGATGATAGAGAGATGAACAGAACGATAGTTGTATAAGATGATAGAAAGACGAACAGAACGATAGATAGTTGTATAAGATGATAGAAAGACGAACAGAACGATAGATAGTTGTATAAGATGATAGAAAGACGAACAGAATGATAGATAGTTGTATAAGATGAAAGAAAGACGAACAGAACGATAGATAGTTGTATAAGATGATAGAAAGATGAACAGAACGATAGTTGTATAAGATGATAGAAAGAGGAACAGAACGATAGTTGTATAAGATGATACAGAGATGAAGAGAACGATAGATAGTTTTATAAGATGATAAAGAGATGAACAGAACGATAGTTGTATAAGATGATAGAGAGATGAACAGAACGATAGATAGTTGTATAAGATGATAGAGAGATGAACAGAACGATAGATAGTTGTATAGGATGATAGAGAGATGAACAGAATGACAGATAGTTGTATAAGATGATAGAGAGATGAACAGAATGACAGATAGTTTTATAAGATGATAGAAAGATGAACAGAACGAAAGATAGTTTTATAAGATGTTAGAGAGATGAAGAGAATTACAGATAGTTTTATAAGATGATTGAGAGATGAACAGAACGATAGGTTGTTGTATAAGATGATAGAAAGATGAAGAGAACGATAGTTGTATAAGATGATAGAGAGATGAAGAGAATGACATATAGTTTTATAAGATGATAGAGAGATGAACAGAACGATAGGTTGTTGTATAAGATGATAGAAAGATGAAGAGAACGATAGATAGTGTTATAAGATGACAGAGAGATGAACAGAACGACAGATAGTTGTATAAGATGTTAGAGAGATGAACAGAACGATAGATAGTTTTATAAGATGATAGAAAGATGAACAGAACGATAGTTGTATAAGATGATAGAGAGATGAACAGAACGATAGATAGTTGTATAAGATAATAGAGAGATGAACAGAACGACAGATAGTTGTATAAGATGCTAGAGAGATGAACAGAACGATAGATAGTTTTATAAGATGATAGAAAGATGAACAGAACGATAGTTGTATAAGATGATAGAGAGATGAACAGAACGATAGTTGTATAAGATGATAGAGAGATGAACAGAACGATAGATAGTTGTATAAGATGATAGAAAGATGAACAGAACGATAGATAGTTTTATAAGATGATAGAGAGATGAACAGAACGATAGATAGTTGTATAAGATGATAGAGAGATGAACAGAACAATAGTTGTCTAAGATGATAGAGAGATGAACAGAACGATAGATAGTTTTATAAGATGATAGAAAGGTGAACAGAACGATAGTTGTATAAGATGATAGAGAGATGAAAATAATGATATATAGTTGTATAAGATGATAGAGAGATGAAAATAATGATATATAGTTGAATAAGATGATAGAGAGATGAAGAGAAAGATAGATAGTTTTACAAGATGAGCTTATTCAATCTCTCATTCCGTCCATCCCTCCATCATTAGTCATGTAATTTGTCCATACCGCAATATTTTTCCCCTTCCATCCGTTAATGAAGATGATGGTCAGGCCCCTTGTATCATCCGCCAAGGGAGCTCATTAAGGGTCGACCATCTCATTGTTTGGGGTCGGCTGCTTAGCCAGTGCCCAGGTGCACTTCTCAGCTAACAAGATATTATAGGCCTTAAAAACAAAGGCATTAGTTCGTAAACACGTAATAACAATACGGGATGACGGTATGCTTTCCCTTCTTTATTCGTATTTTCTTGCTCTCCATTTTCTTATATTAAACATCAAGAGTGATTACGATATCGGTCTTTGTTTGAACCTATTTGCTGCACAGGTCCGGTGCTGCACTTCAGTTTATACAAAAACCGACCATTATTATTTTATTCGTTTTATTCGAAGTATGGGGTTTAGATTTCACACTTCGTAGTTTGTTTAGATAAAAGAGTATTTTATGTAGATTGCAAAGGAGTACTTAGCTGTACCCCGTGCTGTACCGTGTGTAATGTTTTATATAGACCTACTAAAAAGCAATCGGTTCAATTCAGTTCGAATTTGCACAATGGAAACCGAGTTTTGTGAAAACAAGTCTCGGTGCACACTTGTAGAAATCAAAATAGTAAAAATTTCTCAAATTTGACATTTTCTCAAATGGAAATTTCTCAAATTTCTCAAAAGTATGCCAAAAAATAATCCCTTTGGAGTATCGCTCAGATAACAACAAATTATGTACCCCATGTCTGATCCAGGAAAGAAAATACCTACAATACGCCCAATAGCCTGTTTTTACTTAAATTATTAACATATAAAAATTCAAGAGAACTTTTAATAGCTGCTGCACATTTTTATCTCCAAAATAAGACATGAATACTTACTTTTAAGTTATTCAATTTCTGAAAAATTATCGACAATTTAGCTGCAAATATACCCTGAGGAAAAATTTCACTCGGTGACTGTGTTCTTGATAAAATTCTTGCACAAAGCAACTTTGATTAATTCTGCATCATACACGTATCTGTGTAAATTACAGCATTAAAATAAATGAAACCTCATGACAGAAGCCACAAAAGATGCATACTTTGTACCTTCGTTAGGATATTTTTTGAGGATTTGGGGATCAAAATAAAATTAAGAAGCGCGAAAATAAGCTCTAATCTGCGAGGCACGCGTACGCGCGTACAAACGAGTTAATACTGAATGACACTCATTAGTGATAGCATCATGAAGACTCGGTGTGATGCTAAGGTTTGTGTTGTCGTTGTTGTTGTTTTGTTATGAAGATTTGGGGGGGGGGGGGGGTACAAAACGCTTACAAAAAAATTATGACGGAAGAGAAGAAAGAGTTATTTGAAGGAGAAACCGAAGTAAGGAAAAGGGATAACGAAGCGTAGGAAGAATTTAGACCCGTGATGATGGGGGTGGGGTACAAAACGCTTCCACAAACGTATGCCGGGAGAAAGGAAAGAGTTATTTGGAGGAGAGACAGAAGGAAGGAAGAGGGAAGGATAAATGGTATAGACATGTGAGGATGGGGATGGGGCACAACAATCGATGAAGGGGAAATAGCTAGATTGGAGGAGAGACAGAAGGAAGAAAGGTGGAAAGAACAAAATGTAGCAAGGAGATGGACACAGGATGGGCATTAATGTACGAAGAGGTATTTATGTGGTGTAGTAAAAAGAAAGAAAGTGTTAGATTGAAGGAGAGACAGAAAGAAAGAAGATTGATAACGAAATGTAGGAAGGATTTAGACTCATGAGGATGGGGATGGAGTACAAAACGCTTACAAAAGATTACGAAGTGAATATGGTTGAGAGGAGAAAGAGTTATTTACAGACTAGGAACGGGAATAAAAACATTTAGGAAGGAGCCGGACAAAAGAATGGAAGATCGAAAGAGAGAGAGAGAGAGAGAGAGGGAGAGAGAGAGAGAGAGAGAGAGGGAGAGAGAGAAAAGGGAGGGGGAGGAGAGAGATAACAAAAGAGAGAGAGAGAGAGAGAGAGAGAGAGAGGAAGTGGTGTAAAGACGGAGAAACAAACGAATAGGTAGAGATGACATAGAGTTGATATAAAGAGGATTTAGAAAACGCCTCCAGTATGAACTGATTTTTCCAATAACATATTTGTTGTTTATTTCTGGTGCATGTAGGAGTTGATATTGTCGATGAAATTGTTGTTGTTTTGATCTCGTTCTTCTTGTTAATAGAAGTTTTGGTTACAGAAAATCATGACCTTCTTGCATAAACAGCTTACATTAGATTGTACGCGACCCAAAATAATAATCAAAAGAAAACACATTTTTATCATAACAGATGAAACCCCTTATAAATAAGATCTTAATCGTGCCTGAATACTAAGTACAGTATAGGCCTATATCATTGGGGGAGCCACAAATCTCTGGCCGGGCGCACGATTGGCGAGCCAAAACAAAACAATTTATGCTGAATGAATAGTTAAAAACAGAAGAACAAAACACAAATAATAGTAATAATAACAATAACGTTATCATTATCAACAACAACAACAACACAACAACAACGATGATAACAACAATATTGAAAACGATAATGATGATGATGATGATGATGATGATGATGATGATGGTGATGATGATGATGATGATGATAATAATAATAATGATAATAATAATTAGAAGAAGAAGAAGAATAACTAAAACTAAAAAGTGCTGCACCACTGGATCCCCTTATTATAAGTCAGCCAAGTACGCTGCAGTTATATCTCTCTCTTTATCTCTTTCTCTCACTCTCTCTCCTTCTCACGCTTTCTTACTCTCTCTCTCTCTCTCTCTCTCTCTCTCTCTCTCTATATATATATATA